GTGAATCCCACTGGGACTGGCTATCAAAAAAACATGTAAAGTGACTATATATCAGATCTTAAAATGGAACCATGACTTGAAAAAAATGAGAAAGTGGTCCCATTTGGTCCCATTTAGTCCCATTCTTGGCATAAAGTTACTATTTTTAGACATTTTAAGGTTTTTTTTAGACTATTTTTAATTTTTTAAAAAGTAACGCTTTTTGGTAACGCTCAAATGAGATTTAAAGTCATTTAAAGCAATAAAAATAATTTAAAATGAGAAGTGGAAATCATGGTCCCATTTGGAAAATGTGACAAGAGTAGACAGTAAGTCCCACTGGGACAGTATGGGACCACTATATAATGTTAAAACCGTGTAATGGGATCAGTCGAATTGGTAATGAGACTATCAAAAAATCTAGTCCTGGTCCCAGACACGGTCACACGGTCAGTCTACTCTTGCAGAGTTCAAACCTGCTCTCTTTTAGCATTCATTCCCCGGGGGGAAGGCCGCTAATTGAGGCTTCATGATAGCGTAGTTAACCACTACGTCACCGGGCCAAGCCTGTTCTTTCTTATATATTGATATTATATGAAAGTACTGAATCTTCTAGAGATTACACATTTCACACTGAATTTCTGTAGTTCAATTCAGATCACTGATAATATAGTAATAAAACTCTGAGATATCTGTGATTAAGTAGAAGTCTTCATGACAAGTGCTAAACAGAATTAAGAAGATTGAATCAATGTTTATCAAGACTCTACTGAGTAATATAAGATAGAAGATCTGATATAATTGAATCTTAAGAATATACAAATTATATACTCATCTCACACACTGAATTACTGTTATATAAAGTATAAAGTGATAGAAGTTCTAGACAGTTATAACTACTGTCTTAATATATTATCAGAGATTGATAATATCTTTTATATAAGCTTACTTCACTGTACTACTACTGATCTGTTCTCTTCTCAACTGACTTTTAACTGACAGCTGTCAGAAATCATAGAACAAGATAATGAACTTGAATAAGAGATTGAAGATATTCTTAATAAGAGATTCTGCAGCTGCAGCTGATAATATCTTATAAAATGAGTTAGCTACAATTATCTGATGTGAACTCTGAGCTCTGTGTTATCTGAGACTGCGGCTCTTGACTGATAAGAGCTATGTATAATTAAGAAAGAAGAGAGAGACTAATGTAGCAGACTGTATCTAATCAATTATATAGACTATTCTATTACACTTCACAGATTTCTATTACTTCAATTCTTAGTTACTGATTCTCAGCTGAAAATCTACAGAATTTCTATTCTTTCACTCTGAAGCTTTACTGTGTATGAAAACCTCTATTCTTTCACTCTGAAGTTTTACTGTGTATATCACTGTGTATGCATATAAATATTCACTCTGATTACTGATTTTCACACTTTCTCTTTCTTTTCTTCTCTAATATTTTTCACTTTGTATTATAAGACCTATATATTATACTGATCTTTTCAGTGTAGACCTCTTATAATAAGACTCTGAACTTTGAAGTGTCTCTGAATTTGAGATAATCACAGATTATAAGAATCTCAAGTACTTTACAACTACTTATAAACTCACTGAATAATAAATATAATGATCTGAGTTCTTAAGCTGCTTTTATTTTATAATACACTATCATTCTGATAGTCAGAACTCAATGACAGATGCTCTCTTATAATAAGAGTAAGATATATTATCTGATGTAACAGATACTCACTGAATGAACTGAAAGCACTGACTCTTGAATCTGAAGATATTAGTTAATCAAGATGAAATAGCTTATAATACTATATATACTTCTCTGATTAGAACTATTACTGATATCTTAACTTCTTCTGAACTCACACTAGATAAACTATAGCATACAGCAGCTTAAACTGATGAACTTCTTCAAGTACTCACTGAAGCAGTATGTTAAGAAGCACTTCAATTTCTCTCAGAACTATGTATATGAACTGACATCTCAGAATGTTCAATCAATGATAATAAGATAAATACTGAATAAGTCACTGAAGTCTTTCAATAGAGTCTATTCTATTAAATGTATAAATTACTGAGATTTATAGTATTAAATCAGCGCTGTTAATTTATAAGCACTTTCTAGATAAGAATCTATCAAGTTCTTAAGATTATATATTATCTGTTAACTACTTATCACTCTCTCAGACTGATAATATATCAGAATAGATAATTCAGACTGTAAAGAATTATCTTAATAAGTTCTATAACTACTTATAAGATAATTAACATAATCTTCTTCTATATACAGAGATTATCATCAATGACTGAGATACTGTTTTAACAGATATAAGCTTATTCTTTCTCATACACAGTTATTATGTAAAGATATTAAATCTTCTAGAAATTATACATTTCATACTAAATCTTTGTAGTCTGATTTAAATAACTGATAATATAGTAATAGAGTTCTGAGATATCTGTGACTTAGTAGAGATCTTCATAACAACTACTAAATAAGATTAAGAAAACTTAATTAATATTCACTGAGATTTTACTAAGTAATATAAGATAGAAGATATGATGTAATCAAATCTTAAAAATATATAGATCATATACTTGTCTTATACACTGAGTTACTATTATATTAAGTATAAAGTAATAGAAGTTTTAGACAGCTATAACTACTGTCTTAATATATTATCAGAAATTTATAATATTTTTCATATAAGCTTACTTCACTGTATTATTATCAATCTATTCTCTTCTTAACTGACTTCTGACTAGACTGATCACTGAGATCATGAATTTCATGTTTAGTCTCATTTAATCTGATCTTATACATTTCTTAGTGTGAATCCTGCTGGGACTAGTCATTAAAAAACATGCAAAGTGACTATATATGAGATCTTAAAATGAAATCATGACTTGAAAAAAATGAGAAAGTGATTTCATTTGATCTCATTTAGTCTCATCCTTGGCATAAAGTTACTATTTTTAGACAGTTTAAGGTTTTTTTTAGTCTATTTTTAATTTTTTAAAAAGTAATGCTTTTTGATAACACTCAAATAAGATTTAAAGTCATTTAAAGCAATAAAAATAATTTAAATTGAGAAGTGAAAATTATGGTCTCATTTGAAAAATGTGATAAGAGTAGATAGTAAGTTCTACTGAGACAGTATGAGACTACTATCTAATGTTAAAACTGTGTAATGGGATCAGTCAAATTGATAATGAAACTATTAAAAAATCTGATCCTGGTTTCAGACACAGTCACACGGTCAGTCTACTTCTAACTGACAGCTGTCAGAGATTATAAATGAAGATAATAAACTTAAATAAAAGATTAAAAATATTCTTAATAAGATATCTCACAGCTGTAACTAATAACATCTTATAAAATAAGTCAGTTATAATTGTCTGACTTGAACTCTGAGCTAGACTGACCGTGTGACCGTGTCTGAAACCAGGACCAGAATTTTTGATAATCTTATTATCAATTCAACTGATTCTATTACACAGTTTTAACATTAGATAGTAGTTTCATACTGTTCTAGTGAGACTTACTCTCTAATGTTGTCACATTTTTCAAATGAGACCATGATTTTCACTTCTCAATTTAAATTATTTTTATTACTTTAAATGACTTTAAATCTCATTTGAGTGTTATCAAAAAGCATTACTTTTTAAAAATTTAAAAATAGTCTAAAAAAATCCTTAAAATGTTCTAAAATAGTAACTTTATGCCAAGAATGAAACTAAATAAGATTAAATGAGATTACTTTCTCATTTTTTTCAAGTCATGGTTTCATTTTATGACTTGATATATAGTCACTTTTGTAGGTTTTTTAAATGACTAGTCTCAGTGAGATTCACATCAAGAAATGTATGAGATCAGATTAAATAAAATCAAATGTGAAATTCATGATCTCAGTGATCAGTCTACTCTAAGCTTTGTATTATCTGAAACAGTAGCTCTTGTTTAATGAGAACTATATATGATCTCACTTCTAAATAGACTGACTACTGAGACTATGAATTTCATGTTTAATTTTATTTAATCTAGTCTTATACATTTCTTGATATGAATTTTACTCAGACTAATCATTAAAAAAATATATAAAGTAACTATATATCAGATCTCAAAATAAAATCATAACTTAGAAAAAATAAGAAAATAATCTTATTTAATCTCATTTGGTTTTATTCTTAGTATAAAGTTACTATTTTTAGACATTTTAAGGTTTTTTTAGACTATTTTTAATTTTTTCAAAAGTAACACTTTTTGATAACATTTAAATAAGATTTAAAGTTATTTAAAGCAATAAAAATAATTTAAATTGAGAAGTGAAAATCATAATCTTATTTAAAAAATGTGATAAGAGTAGATAGTAAGTCTCACTGAGATAGTATAAGACTACTATCTAATGTTAAAACTATGTAATGAGATCAGTTGAATTAATAATAAGATATAATCATATAATCAGTCTACTTCTGAGAAGAGAGAGTTAATGTAATGAGCTGCATCTAATCAATTATATAAACTATTTCATTACACTTCATAGATTTCTGCTGAAAGCTCTGATTCTCAGTCACTAATTCTCAGCTGAAAAAAACTCATCAAATTTCTATTCTTCTGCCCTGAAGCTTCACTGTATATATATATAAATATTTACTTCAATCACTGATTGCTGTACTTTCTCTTTTTTCCTTCTCTAATGTTTTTCACTTTTGTATTATAAAATCTATCTTTATTATACTTATCTATTCAGCATATACCTCTTACATACACAGTTATTATATAAAGATGTTAAATCTTTTAAACATTACATAGTTTACACTGAACTCTTACAGTTTAATTCAGATTGTAGATGATATAGTAATAAAGCTCTGAGATATCTGTGACTGAGCAGAAGTCTTCATAATAAGTATTACACAAGATTAAGAGAATTAAGTTAATATCTGATAAGATCTCTCTAAGTAATATAAGATAGAAGACCTTGTATAATTAAATCTTAAAAATATACAGATTATATACTCATCTCATACACTGAACTATTATAATGTTAAATAAATACAAAGTAATAGAAGTTCTAGACAGTTATAACTATTATCTTAACACTCTGTCAGAGATTTATAATATCTTTCATACAAGCTTGCTTCACTGTGCTGTCATCAACTCATTTCCTTCTCAACTGACTTCTGACTGACAACTGCCAGGGATCATAGAAGAGGACAACAAACTTGAATGCGAGATTGAAGATATAGGCCCCGCGGCCGCGGCTGACAATATCTTGTAAAATGAGTTGGTTATGATTGCCTGACCTGAACCCCAAGCTCTGTGCTATCTGAAACAGCAGCTCTTGATTGATGGGAACTACGCGCCCGCAGCTCTATCACTCAAACACCACTTCCAGAAAGGGGGGGGCTAATGTAGCGCGCTACGCCCGATCATTGGTAGACCATTCCATTACCACTCCATAGATCCCTGCCGAAAGCTCCGATTCTCGGTCGCCGATCCTCCATAGATTCCTGCCGAAAGCTCCGATTCTCGGTCACTGATCCTCGGCCGATACTCCTAGAAACCCACGGAGCTCCTATTCTCCCGTCCCGAAGCTCCACCTCATACGCGTATAAATATCCGCTCCGATCGCCGATCCTCGCACCTTCTCTTCTTTCCTTCTCTAACGTTTTCTACTTTTGTTATATATAAGTCCTATATCTAATGCCGATCTCTTCGGCGTAGGCCCATTACACAATATTATATAGTCTCTTCATTCAAGGAAAATAGAAATGATACCAGAGAATCTTTCAAAGATTTTATATATAGACTTCAAGCGAGACAGTACTGTACTGAGACATATAACAAGACAAATGAGAAACAAAAAAACATGCCTCGCTTCAGATCACGCTAACCTACCTAGCTGGATCTATTTGAACTGATCCTCCGTCACACCGTCACCCATGGCGCTGGTGCTGCTAATACCACCAGTGACCATCTTCAACAGCTCATCAACATAGTTAGCACCACTCCATTTCTGGTGGGTAACAACGTCGACCCCGAGCTCCATCTCTGGCTCCTGGACAAGCTCGCCGTACGCACGCATGCCCTGCATGGCATACGCCTTGGCGAACTGGTCGGAGATGAGAGCGGTGGTATGCAGGCCGGCAAGGGTGATGAACTGCCAGCAGTACCCGAGCTCGCCAAGGCGGCGGATGTAGGTTTCCTGCTCGTCACAGGGCATGGCAGCCTTCCAGTTGAATGAGGGGGACAGGTTGTACGCGAGTCTGTAGAAAACGGTGTCTGTTAGTAAAGGACAAAACAAAATGGCTATGACCAGTTTGGCGTTCTAAGAGATGCGAGGGTTGAACATACTTCTGTTCGGGCCAGACGGCGTGGACCCCGTCAGCGAACTCCTTGGCCTGAGCGTAGTCGGGGAGCTTGCTCTCCATCCAGATGAGATCGGCGAAAGGCGCAAAGGCTACAGCACGGTTGACAGCGCACTGGGTGCCGCCACGGTAACGGTAGTAACCTTCCCGGGTTCTAGCCGCATCCCAGCAGAAGTAGACATCTACTCCGGTGAGTTCCTTGGCGATGGCGCGAGCCTCCTGGTTGCTCTTGCCCTTGACATCACGCAGGAACTTGTCGATAACTGCCTGCTTGTTGGAGACAGAGCTAGCCTTGATTTGATCAACAACGGCCTCGGAGAAAAGTTTCAGTCCGGCTTCGGCGTTCCATTTGTCCTCGATTTCCTGGAGTTGGGCTCCAGTCTTGCCGGCCTGTTCAGCAGCCATCATCAGGTCGTTGAGTGGCTTGATATTAGGGTTCGTGGAGCCGATAACGAAGGCATGATCCCGGTGATCGATGGTGGAGGTGATGAGGGTTGCGGCTTCCGAATCCGTTCTGGCAACAGCCAAGAGATCGGTTCCTGCAATGGAATTAGTATCTTTCATTCCTTTTCAAAACACTTTTACTCTTTTGCTTGAGTATGACCCTCACCCATAATATCAGCCTGTGCACGGATGGCCACAAGTCTGTTGATGTGCTCGCTAATGGGCACCAGGACTTTGCCAGCCATGTGGCCACACTTCTTCGTTCCGGGAGCTTGATCCTCGACATGAATACCAGCAGCTCCGCGTTCGATGAAAAGCTTGGTCAGCTTCATGACAGCGGTTAAGCCTCCATGGCCGGTATCGGCATCCGCAATGATGGGTCTGAGGTAATCGATGTTGGCAAGCGATGCGCGTTGCGACTTAGAAGCCCTCAATCTTTCCTCGCGCTGCTTGCGATCGTGGAACAACTGAGCCATCCATAATTGGTTGACCTTGTTGGGTACCGTGTTCTATGTAATTGTTAGTAGGACAATTTTCCGAAAACTTTTCGTTTTTTGAACGGCAACTCACCATGGGGTAATCAGCAAGATCGGGGGAAGGCTCATCGGTTGATGATGCAGTGGAAGAGCTCTGCCAGCCGGAGACGTAGACGGTGTCGAGATATTTCACCATCTGGGTAAGCATAGTAGGTTCCAAGCAGCCATAGGTGAAACTGGCAGTTTTGTTCTGTGAGGTGATTACCAACTAGATCAGCATTCTGCACCTCCGAGTATTAATTAAGGCATTGAAATAAAAGTTCTAGTATACCTTGAAGTGATCCTCGAGGAGTCTCCATAGCTTTTTGCTCTGAACATTTGATGGATATTCAATCTTCAAGTTTCCTCTCTTAGCCACAATTTGCTCGGCAGTGAACGGCCGCTTGGTGTACCGCCATCTCGAATCCTGCCACCATTGTTTAACTGCCTGAACATCAGCCAGGTATTGCTGCTCTTCCTGCTCAATTGAAGCCATGATTGCTGTTTTTTTTACCTATGAATCAGGTTTATGATTCAAAAATTAACAATCAGAAAATAAAATAAAAAAGGAAATGGTTGGCAGCGAGATCTGGGTACTTAAATCAGTTTCACCCGCCGACGTCACAGAAAAAGCGCAGCCAATGGGAACTCACGAAAAAAATACCCCAAGCCAGGTCTCGGCGATTTGCACCTGGGATTCTCAATAACCAAGCCTGGTATTCACCTCAAGCTTTCAATATATTTTCCATTAAGCTGACGCTGTGTCAGTGAGTAGATAAAAGACGGAGCAAGATATAAAAAGACAGCAGAAACATATATCAGCTGTATATCAACGAACATGCGAAGAAATTATCCGCAGCGGCATGAGTTCAACACCTGCGGCAGGCAGGTTTTTTCCCCGAGGCAAAAAGTTGACTTTGAAGAAAAGTGGCTACGACTCGGCACGGTACGGATCCCGAGACAGAGGGCATTTTCGTCTTGGTCCCGGCGAGCCCACCCGTGACACCAATACACCAAAGGTTATTATTATTGAGTGAGCGTGGAATCTGATTGCTGCGAGGGCAAAATCGACCCTCGGCCATATGGAGCTGGGTAACTAAGTTAGCGTAAACAGGATGGTGACATTCTGTCGAATAGATATATTTCTCCTAAAGATATGTCCGATGCTTTTGCTCTCCATGACTGTTCAAATAACATGGCTATCACAGGCCGCCGATCACAGGCCGTTGATCTGATGGAGGGAATTGCCTCTATATGTGAGCTCTTGAGAAAAGTCTGGCAGATGTTCGTCACTTTTTCTGAGCTTTTACAGTGTGTTGTATGGCATCATTGGCATGTATCAAGGTGGGGCTTCACATGAAAAATGACCCTCAAAACAGCCACATTACAGACTTCAATACGCATGTGCTAATTTCTGCTCCTGTCCCCAGGGTCCAGTCTGCGTCAAGCCACCGCAGTACAACGACCGTATGTACAGCCAACAGTCTACACGTATAACATTTACAGATTACAGATATGGTCCATCGGTCCTAAACGGAGCTTCTCCAGATCAAGTATGGGGATAGATGGACACATTCCCTGCGTCGCAAGAACCATGAGAAAGATGTTATTAGTTAATATTCAGGCTTAACTACTAACTTTAGTGCTGACAACCTGCAGGTCAACAGATAACTACATGTACAGTACCTACCATCATGACCTCTGAGTTTAGTAAGCCTTTGATCCAGAAGAAAGAAACGGAGCCGGGATTATTATATCAGTTCATCTCAGGGCGCATACTCACTCAGTAAGCTGTTGCTACCCCGGCCCGGTTTCTTGAGAAGTGGAAAATCCCCAACCGGCGTTTTACATTCGTGGTTGACTGTCCTGGCACGATCATCATCATCATCATCATCATCATCATCATCATAGACCACTAATAATTGTGGTCACTTTGCATCACCTGCCAGGAGCACGCGGGCAGGACTCTATGCTGAGTTGACCAAGAGGAGTGCAAAATAACAACCCTCATGATAGACATCAACTGCGATTTCTGGAACTCATCAATTACCAACACACAGGAGTTCCCAATATTTCTACCCTTGTGTGCTGTCATGTCCCGAGCTACCCTGGAGACTGAATGAAGGCTGAGGGAGGGCGGAGATTTGGCTGGACCCTAACCCTTAGCTCCCTTGCTGCTGGCTCTAACAAAAAGTGAAATGGCCGGAGATTCGATGTTGAATCTTCCCCGTCTGTCTCTCCGCCGCTACCGCTCTACTTCAAGTTGTACGTCTATCGGCTCCGGAAGAATGTCGTGTGCACAGAGGATTGGTTCGGGCATACTATACTGGCTTTTGACCGTCTTGGCCCAGTTGCGTAATAACAAGCATCAGTCTTGCTCACTTTCATTTTCATGGTATTCGCTCTGACGCTGCATGAAATACGTCTTGAATTGAATCATCATGCTCAAGTCACTCTAATAGTTCACTTTTATGACCAGGGTGTAAACTTGAGGTGGGTCATTCTGGGAAGGCACATGAATCTCAGGCTCGATTGTACGACAGCTAATTAATTTCAGGAAGTCAAAAACATATTTTACCAAATTTTATTTTATTTTATTTTATTTATGAAATAGGATAATAGTCACTTGTAGAAGAATCATGAGTTCGTGTGTAGCTGAATCATGCCAATTTTACAGTATATCTAACCCCCTAAATGCGGGTATGGAACGTTTGGGGGTGGCCATCCGAAGGGGCAAGATTCTTCCAACAATACATATTTAGACAGAAAATCGAATTAGAAGTAAGGTTGGACAATGCAGCTAATATCGTACTGCTGTGGCTTTGCTGAAGGTCTCGTAAGGAGTGCATGCGCCCAGCGCACGTCTCATATGAGCGTTGAGGAATTCAAGACCATACACGAAACTTGCATTAACCCAACCAAATCTGTCGATGCAAAAGCAAAAATGATTTAGTTGCTTGTGAAGGAAGGGGAGGGGGGCATTTGGAAGATAGGTCAATCACTCACCCTTCTCGCGACACTCCCTTAAAATCTCTGCCTTGATTCCCATACTCAGCTTCAACCTTATGGGGATCAATGGGCCGCGTGACATCATACTTTTCCACAACAGCGCCGTTGAAATCCACAAACGCCTTTATGATCATGTAGAGCCATTTGTATGCTAGCCTCTCCGCGTCTTCCTGGTATCCATAACGAATCAACCCTGACCACGCCAGCATCTGCTGTGGCGCCCACCCGTACGGATAGTCCCACTGTCGGTTGGGCCTGTCGAGGCCAATTGGGCCCCTGGACTTCTCAGTTCCTGACACTAGGCCCCCATATACCTCGAATTTCGGGAGTGCTTCAGTGACTAGCCTTGAGGCTTGGCGAGGATTTGCAACCCCGGCCCACATGGTCCAAAACGTGGTGGCACTCTCATAGTCCGTTATCTCCTGCTCCACTGTGTTGTAGTCAAAATACATCCCCTTCGCTTCATCCCATAAATACTTATCTATCGCCGCTTTCCTGCGTCTGGCTCGACGATCCCACACAGCCGATGACTCGAATCCCTGGTCGGCGTTCTGTGACGTCCTGAACTCAGCTGGAATAGGCAGTTTGTCTTGGAAGTGATCCCGGATCGTTATGGCGATGTCGACTTCATATTTATAAAGGAGGGAGTTCAGATCGACGGTAGCGAGATTTGCGCAGACCTTCTCAAGGCGGTAGCTGGTGTCGTGCCCGGATTCTCTTACAGCGCGGTCGTGGAGAAAATATTCGTCTAATTCGGGATCTATGATCTCTCCATTGTTGTAGCCCTCGACAAATTTCTCGAAAGTTATTCCCAGCTTCTCTGCACGCGGCATCAATAGATGATAGAAATGAGACGATTCCGTTTCAGGAGGGACTCCAAGCCCATTTGGCCGGTACCTGGACAGCCCTGTAGCCGGATCATATCTTGGTTCAGCCATCCATACTGAATAGTACTCTTTAATGGCAGACAAAATTGCCGTGCGAAGGAAATCCTTGGCATCCGGCTCCGCTTTGATGCGGTCATAAACTCGAAGAGCCATATCAGTCAGGAATGGCGGTTGGGAGCGACAGAGATAATATGATCGGTTGGCGTTGAGGATCTTCCCATAATGTTTAATGCAGAAACAGAAATTCACGACCATGCTCTTCGCAAGGTCCACTCGATCACTCACTAACAGCCCCAAGGATTCCATATAGCTATCCCAGCCATAGAACTCATTAAAACGGCCACCAGGCACGACGAAAGGGACACCTCTCAGGTCCTCCATCCCGGTATCTGTGTTGGTATATTCCTCCATAGCCAAAGCGAGCAGTCCAGGTTTATCATTCAGTTCCTTAACGTACTCAGCAGTAGGCTCTCCTTCCGGGAGATACTGAACATCGAGGCGTAATTCCGGTTCGGAGTCAGCAATTTGCTTATAATATGCATACTGTTCGGGCGCTCCCGGAGGGACATATATACGGGGAACTGGGCCCGCAGTCCAATCTTTAGGATCCCTTGCAACAACCGCAATATTGGAGCCATCGATTCGTCGCGTAAGTGCGTTCCAGTAGGACTTTTTCACAAGACGTGAGAGTCTTGCAACAGGATTCTCATTCAGGCGTTGCTCATCAAGTATAATATGTTTACGCCCATAATCCTTTGCGAGGGTGAGTTCCTGAAGGAGATTCGAAAGCATATACGTGCCTCGTAAATCGAATCGATTGTAGCCAGACGATGCCGCGGTGCCTACAGCAAAGACCTAAGAAATGTGTAAGCAGAGATTTCAACCTGAAAGGGATAGCTGTCGTTTGACTCACCTTTGGCCCCTGGTCATCTATGGTTATTTGTACGTTGTTATCTGTATCTTCGCGCTCCAACAATGTCTCCAGCGTTGCATCGACATCGATGAGGAATTTACGGCTGTGCACTCGTTCATCTATTCCAGCTATCAGCCTCAAATTGCCGAAAGGGAACAATGCAATAATCACAATCAAAATGCTTACCATGACTTGTGCGCCTAGATGGAACAATGCCGATAAAGTCACGGAGATCAGTAAAGTCGAATCGTTTCAAATTCTGGGCGAGCTGTTAGCCGCCGCTCAGGAAGATCAGGGAAAAGGTGATATTCAATGAGAGGGATAGCCGGTGGCCATGGATCAAGCACAGGTATCACTCACAGATGACAAAGTCCTTCGATGAGCCTGCGCTTGTCGTTTTAGATGCTCCTCGTGACCGTAATATATATCGGGCTCGGAAAAGGGGTCCGCATTAGATGCTCGCGAGGGACGCCTCCGCGCACTGAAAGAATGCTCCTCTACAGGTACGCTCATTATACAATGCTAGTCATAGAAAACGCATCCGGAGGACGTCGAGCACAATTGACCCCGTCGGAGCAACGGAACTTTTTTTCAGAGATAGCTTCAACTGAGCCAGATGGCGGAGCGGAAACTTTGGAATTTGGAGATGATATGTAATGGGCGCCGCGAAAAACAATGAGATATGACACTTGAAAATATTCCAAATCAATAGTATCTCAGTGCTTGCTCGAGAGGAGTTTGCAGTGTTTTGTGGCCAAAAACCCTATTTTGCGTTTGCAAAGTTTGAGCAGAAGTCTGGTGATGTAGTAAGCTCCTGTAGGTCCACTAAATAGGTGGCGAGCGGTTCTTTGTCCCGACTAGTAGTATTCCTACAAAGCAACTTCTTGTACTGTGTACATTGTGGATCAAGCAAAATATTTTGATACAATTACGATGAACTAAGTATCCGCCGCGCAAGATATGCAAGTCAATGTCATAAAGGCGCATCCTTGCCTGTCGCCAGAGCCCAACTACTTCACAACGGTGACATATCAGTGACTACAGAATGTTATAAAGCCCCTCACCAATATCAAGTAATATCAGGTAAACGTACAATTTTGGGGCTGCGTAGGGAGAGAGAACAGTGTTTAATAAGAGTCATTTGTAATAAAACATACATTATACTAGATGGAAAAAACCCCAAAAAAGACGACCGATCGCTTCTATCGTTTCTTACATTCGAATGATCTACAATTTAGCAGAGATGACACTGCCTCCATCAAGCGTAATGGTTGCACCATTAACATATGACCCAGCTCTACTACTGAGGAAAAGACAAGCACCAGCAACATCTTCTGGACTTCCAATGCGGCGCAGTGGAATGCCGGATTCTATCACGTCCTTATATTTCTTCAGCGTCGCGGCCATCATTTTACTTTCGAAAGGCCCGCAGGCCAGCGTGTTAGAGCTATAGGAAAGGGTTAGTAAGTTAGAAAGCATGTGCACGTATTACTTAGAAGATCGTAAGGGACTCACGTTATATTTCGCTTTCCAAGGTGGTTTGCTAGAACACGGCTAAGATGATGTAGGCCAGCCTTGCTCGCGCTATATGCGAATGTCTCGAGAGATGGGACTCTCAGCCCATCTATACTTCCAATGTTAATGATTCTTGCGGGGTCGCCTGCACTTGCGGCCTTTTCGAGTAGCGGAGTGAATAACTGCGTGACTTCGAACACGCGCTGTAAATTCAGGGTCAAGACTCTAGTCCACGCAGAGGACGGGTATTCGTCGTAAGGCTAGATACGGTTCCTGATAAGCATTGGGCTCGACAATATGCATCCGCAGCTCCGATTAACATATTCGAGCTTGTTGGGCGGCTGACACAACATGAGGGTTAATGGGGCATTCTTACCGCACCCCAATTGGAACCCGCATTATTTACCAAGCAGTGCAATTCTATAATTCCATGAATTAGTAACGAAGAAGTCCATTTGAAAAACGGGTCGTTTTGATATCGGGCTTGGCTAAAATATAGTATGCAGAGATGCAATACCCGCGCACCATTTGAAGAAGTACGAGAGTAACATACTGTTTTCTCTCTTCGCAAAGTCGTCCCGGAGCTTTTTGCAGTCATCCTCCTTGTATAAATTTGCAGGTATGCTAACGGCTTTCCCCTTCCCTAGAGCATTCAGCTCTTTAACGGCATTGTCGCAGGCTGCAGCGTCGCGACCGGTGATGTAGACAGTAGCGCCGTTAGTGACAAATCCCTCGGATATCATACGGCCAATGCCTTTCGCACCGCCAGTAACGAGGACGACTTTGCCCTGTAATCACATCGATGTCATAAGCTTCCCTCCTAGGTCTGAGTTTGGTGTGGATTTAGGCTTACCTTAACGTCAAAGAGGCTTGAGGAGTCCATTGTAACTGTCAGAATATACCATGCACCTTTCTATGCTGTTTGGAAGAATATATAAATCAACGGCGGAGCCGACGAGAATATCTTCACCGGCTTTGCCTTGCCGACGAACCACTAGGAAAGAACCGAGGCTGTCGGAAGTGGTAAAATGATTAATCCGGTGCTAATTTCAAACCAACATGATGAGCTAGTTAACGGACCTAATAAGTTAACTAGTTAACTTAGTTAATTGGAATCAACTCAAAAACAACCTAAACGCCGACCACAGGTACTACGTCTGCGCGAACCGTCTATAGACCGGTGTCTGACAGCGTTGCATGGAGTTACGTATCTTCCCCGCTGCGTTCTCAGCTACTATCAGGTCCTCTATTTAAGATGGAGGAACTGCAAGCTAGACACCGAAAAGAATTGAAGGACCTACAGGGCCGCATCACTCAAAAGAAGAAGTCCGCTACGAAGAAGACACGCAAGGGTATTAATGATGAGTGCGAGCATCTCCAGCGTGAATTGCTTGACAAGCAACATGCTGAAATATCCACCCTCCTTCGTGAGACGGAGCCACTCACCGAAGATCTTGACAACCTCAAGCTAGCCAATGGTGCGGGGCACTCAGAGGTTCCCGCGACGGACGATAACAACAGCTCGAATCACTCAACTCCTCTTATTCCCACCTCCGATACTCAGGCCACCTCATCAGAAATGCCCAAAGACACGCCTAAAAAGAAACCAAATCGTCAAAAAGCCCGGTTAGCCCGGCGCGCAGCTGAACAGGAGGCTGAAGCTGCTAGAGCTGCGGAGGAGGCGGCCAACCAGACAGATCATAGGGGCAACGAGAGGAAGAACATGGATGCAGTATTCTCTCGCCTTGGGCTAAAAGAGACGGAAATTCGCCCTGACGGACATTGTCTCTATGCCGCTGTTGCTACTCAACTTGGGGACAAGGGTATCCCTCTAAGCGCGTCTCCGTCAACTAAGGAAGGGTCAGGCCCCAAATGCGGGTATCAAACCGTTAGAGATACGACGGCCAGATATATTACAAGCCACGCAGACGATTTTGCGCCATTTATCGAAGAACCCTTGCCTACGTACGTTCACAAAATAAGAGCCACTGCAGAATGGGGAGGTCAGCTAGAACTACAGGCTATTGCCCAAGCATACAATGTCCATGTTAATGTTGTCCAAGGAGATGGACGAATCGAGAAATTTGAACCCCAAAATAACAACAAGGAAGACAACAAAACAATATGGCTCGCCTATTATCGACACACGTATGGATTGGGGGAACATTACAACGCCCTAGCAAAAGCTTCTTGAAGATCAGAGTATTTAATTTGGAAATTATACAGAGGGGAGTTTCCGAATAACGCCGAACAAATGACGGCATCAGGCCGACAATTCCACAAACACCTTTTTCCATATTAATCTCGGCGACGCCAAATTGCTACCCAGTCCTGGACATTTCCATTATCGTCTTTACCGACCTCGTGTGTCCTCTCTGGTTGCCAATGGGCGACGCGCTCCAGTCCAGCAGGACTCGCCTCTTTCAACGGATCCGTTTTAATATGGCCGTTTTCATACGGAATATCCTCTCCAGGATGGCTAAGATGTTCCATGTAAGCTGCGGGAGGGGATGCGAACGGAGGCCCTGCTGCTGCTGGGTCCTTCGCAGCAGGGAACTCGAGACAGATTAGGTTTCCATTTGGCGACGGCGCCAGCAACTGGGTCATACGGGCGGCCCATCGCGGGCGAAGGGCCGGGTTCAATGCACAGAAGAACTAAAGGACAGAATGAATAATATCAGTTTCCATATGTTAGACAGGGTTTCGTTATCAACTCAAATGATCTACTATCCAAGCATATCCTTATATTATAGCGTTCATAACATGGGATAAAAGAAGTGCCTGCAGGGGGTAATAATTATCTTACCGTATAATCGTAAATGAGATCAAACCCTCCCTCCTTAACACCAATCGTCTCCAACCAGTCATTCTTAAAAAAGTCCCCTTGAACAAACGTAATTTTCCCTTTACCTATGCGCTGATCCTGCACTGGAATATTATCCCCAACCCTAGCAGCTTCCTGGCGGCAAATCTCCACAGCAGTCTCACTGTATTCTAACCCGTACGCATCATATCCAAACCCTGCCAGCAGGAAAACATCAAAACCCCGCCCGCATCCGGGAACAAGAGCTCTTTTCCTCCTCCTGCCGTTACTCTCTGCTCCCCGCGGTGCTGCTGTTACCTCGTCATCTTGAAGTGCAGTTCCCAGGAGCCCGCGGCGCTGGAGAAGGGTATCCTCGAGTGCGGGGTTATACTCTCCGCGATCCCAGGGTGTGGTTTCGTTCTTCCAGAGCTCATCCCATGCTTCAGCCTGGTTTTCCAGTTGGAATTTGGAGAAATGGTCACTCAATTTGGGTTGAGTTAGGGATGGTTTGGACATGGTGGAGTCTACAGGCGTAGGTGGCGGGATGAATGGCGGGGTATTGGATCCGGAGCTCGTAGTTAAGAGCAGTAGCGGTAAACGTGAACGTGAACAGTACGTATTTTCGGTCAAGATCAGAATGGAATTTGAAATTGCGAAGCCGATGACAGAGGATCATTGCCTGGTTGATACTGTCCATGCATTTAAGTCCGCTCCAACCGGAAAGCGCCTCATTGGTGGTAACTATAGAGTGGATGTTTGCATCTGTTTGTTTTGTGTCGCAGACCTACCTATAGGTACCTGAGAGGCATATGTGAAGGTCGGAAACCTCGATCAACCCTTTGTATGTGATCTTGAGGATATATTTTTTCTAGTATAGGGACTGTTTTAGTTGAGCCTACTTCAGATTGACTGTTGGTGAGATTGTTCCACGGGCAATTGTCCTTTTACGGGTTTTAAAATGGAAAATAGATGCACGGGTTACTTGAATCTCAACCATGTAATATAAAGCAATGCATTGATGCATTGATAGGGAGTCAGGTGTCTAAGATATAATGGAGATAGATACCCTACAAATATTTCAGTATGATGCTTCATTGCCTAAGTGAAGAAAAACTCCGTCTAAGGATCACAATATTCTGAAGCGCACCCTCTGCTTGGAATGGTTAGGCTATTCACTGGGCTGGGAAGCAATGATGCGGGTATATCTGAAACTGAGATTTTTTTCGGTGAATTGTAAACTGATTGATATAACTTTATATGAAACCTAACCACAAAAATTGACGCCTACAGCTGGCAGTGTGTGATTTATCTTAGAATACTATTCAACAACGATTAGAAGAAGAGTTATTCCACTAGAAAAATATAATAAAAAGTACGCTGACGGCTTGAATTGCTCATGAATGACCGGGCTGGGGCAGTCTCAAGTTATCGGGCCGAAGGGATGCCGATTGTTTCGGATTGTCACTAGCTTCAATAGAGCGGGAGCGCCAGCGTTAGTTCAACAATTCGAACTATTTATATAGAGTACTCTTCCAGCATATATTATTTTGCTAGACAAGCATTGTTCGGGTTGGAGTGCTAAGCGAGATTCTTGAATAAATAATACACAGGATATGTCATTGAAAATGACGACCGTTCTTCCCCAAACAGATGGGCCGCGGTTGTCGGCTAGTTATTTACTATTTATGCTTTGAAGTCTTGGGACAACCGAAGCGCTGTGATTCGTGGCTTTTCGGCCAGGTTAGTTATGCCGGCATTGGAACCATGCCAAGCTGTTTTTCCAGCATCAGTTTTGTGGGCACAGCATTCAACTGTCACCCGCAAATGGTCACTCGGGCACAAAGGACAGCAGTCAGCCTGAAGAAACCTTTATTGGGAAAACAATCGCTGCTAGCGATAGATGTCTTGATAAATTCCTCCGGACTGGTCCGCTTGAGGCGTCATAATCAGTGGTCGGCTCTCGGCAATCGGGGGAAAACCAGTTTTTGGCTCCGTGGCAAAGCACTATCTTGCCTCCAATTCGTTGGCATATCACCGAAAATGGTGATTTCAATCTGCTCTGGCGAGGAAAGGATGGCAAATTCAGAGCACACCTGAAATCGCCGGAGCTTGGAGAACGCCGATACGAGAGAAAATAATCAACCGGGAATGATACAACTGCCTAATACGAGGAAAGCTGGTTGCTGGTCTGGAAAGTCGAGAAAATCCCTCTCCTAGCCCGCTATTGAATCTTTTCGTCCGGTGAATTGGCGGGATTGAATCTACCCTACCGCTATCTCGGCTAGGCCACTCTCTAACATTCCCGAGTGGAGAATCCGCCAGCCGAATGCCATGTTTTTTATCCTGGCTCGTCTTTCCTTTTAAGTGTCTTGATTCTTTTTGTCCGAACTCATGACGGTGTCGAATACTAACAGAGACCTAAGCCTCTCATCATCTGTGAATTTTTTTATCCCATCATCGTGATATGAGGATGGTTGGGATGTTACCATCAATTATACCTGGTTATACTACTCCCAATCGCATTTCTGATTCTTACGGTCCGTCGCATGGATGCATCGCCGCACAAATCTCAAATTCTTGCCTCTTTGTATGAGATATTGCGGCGTGGAAAGGGCAAAAGCTTGCCCTCTCATCTATGACTCCACCGAGCGCCGCTGCTGTATCTTTGTCAATATCAGTCCAGTCATACATCGGAGCACTCACATTCTTCTACCCCTATTCTATTTTGGCCTGTTCATCCCCGCGCTTTGAGTCTGAATTCCGCCAACCCATCGGAAGGGGAACGAATCAATGGCTTTTTCCGAATCTGACGGAGAAGTGAATCGCTTGCCAGCCCGGGAATACGAAACGCCAGTGACAGAGAAATATCACGGAACAGCGGATCGGCGGGATGTCATTGGCGAGCAGGGTCTACCAAGGACAGACGATATCAGGGGAGACGCCAAGTCATCAAGGTCCAGATCTTGCTCTCGAGCAGAAGATGGAGGTGGCAATCTCGCAACGAGACAAGGGACCAATTCATACTCTGCTGCCGTGGTAGTTCCCAGGAATAAGCGTCGAGGCCTATTAGGACGTCTCGCGCTGCTTCCTGAAGTTGAGGATCCTCAAAAGTATCCTCGTAAAACAAAATGGTTGATCACGTTAATAATTGCAATTGCAGCTGTGGCTGCACCTCTCGGCAGCGCGATATTCTACCGTTAGTCTTTATTCCCCTAAGCCGACTTCAGACACGTTTTTTGACGTCCTTTTCCTTTCCAGCTGCCCTTGGGGAGGTTGCGTCTTCCCTTAACACAACCCCCACAGTTACCAACCTTTCCATTGCACTGTATATGTTGAGCATGGGCATATGCCCGCTATGGTGGTCCACATTCAGCGAAACCTTCGGTCGCCGTTCGATATATATCATATCATTCTCACTTTTCAACGTATTCAATATCCTATCGGGCGTCGCAACCTCCATAGAAATGCTTATTGTTCTACGGTTATTGAGTGGAGGAGCAGCAGCTTCGGTTCAGGCGATTGGGGCGGGGACAATTGCAGATATTTGGGAATCACGAGAAAGAGGCAGAGCAATGGGGACATTCTTCCTTGGACCGTTGTGTGGCCCTCTGCTGGCTCCGATTATTGGAGGCGCAATGTCACAGGCTTGGGGCTGGAGAAGCACGCAATGGTTTTTGACCATTTACGGAGGCGTATCACTACTGATTCTCACTTTCGGGCTCCCAGAAACATTAGTTTCACGGAAAAGCCTGGTCGCAGAGGTAGAACCAAACGCTGAACTAAGCCGCACTCTCAGTCGAGTGTCGTCTCGCCAGGTTGCGCAGAACACCGCCAAGTGGTTGAAGATTTTGAGAATGATTTTCGTCGATCCGCTTCAGATATTGCTTTACCTACGCTTCCCGGCTGTGTTGTTGACTGTGCTCTATGGCAGCATCACCTTCGGGTCATTATATGTGCTGAACATAAGTATACAAACTACTTTCAGCCAACCTCCGTATAACTTCCCTGTACTTCTCATAGGATTGCTATATATCCCTCATTCGATAGGTTATATAATTTCTAGCATTCTCGGTGGCATGTGGATGGACTCCATAATGCAACGCGAGGCAAGGAAGGCAAACAGAGTTGACGAGAGTGGGATGTACATCTACCGTCCCGAGGACAGAATGGGAGAAAATGCTTGGCTCGGGGCGTTCATTTATCCTGCAGCAATGATCTGGTATGGATGGACCGCGGAAAAACATTTATTTTGGGCGATACCAGTACGTCCTTAACCAATATTCCCCGTATTATTTTGTTGCCTTCCATCCTCTGTAACCAGGGTCGAAAACTACGCAAAACTAACCCACCCTATTCAGATAATAGCCAATTTCTTCTTCGGTGTCGGCTCGATGATTATATTCAGCATGTCAACAACGATGTTGACTGAATTCATGCCCCAGCGTTCATCATCTGGTGTTGCAGTGAACAACTTCATGCGTAATATCTTCTCATGTGTCGGAGGTGTCGTTGCCGCTCCTATAATTCACGCCATTGGGAACGGTTGGCTATTTACGATCCTGGCCCTCGTTGCATTTGCTGCCGGCTCAGTGATTTGGGCGATGAGACGGTTTGGACCGCGGTGGCGGCTCTCTATGGAAGCCAGAGTGAACTGAGCCGATGGGATGAGATGGTTCTACTTATAGATGATGGGAGGAATTTCATAGATCAGGAGAACAAAACATGCACACTTCGTTTCGTTGTTTTGTTTTAGTACAATTAATGTGTGTCAGTGAAATTGCACTGCTGCGATATGTAACAATTTGATTCCCAGGTGCAATGGACTACCGCTAACCACTTCTCCCTTTGGCGCATTATTGTTTGGGCTTTTTCCACATAAGAGAGAATTTAAGGAGATAATTACCGCTTGTCTCTTACCAATATACTTCGTCCTTCTCTTTTCAATTGCGGGAATTCCGTTTGAAAACTCTCAGGGTCTTAATGTTCCTGCGCAGCCCGAGAATGGATATAGGAACCGGGAATGTGGCATAGAACCAAGCACGAAAATAGAAGGCATAGGTGAGCCACGACGTAGCGGAAAGATATTTACAGAGGATAAAAGCCAAATGTGGCTCACTCTCTCTGATATTAACTCTCTTATTTATCAGCTCCTATATCGGCTCAAATAAACCTGAAAAATTAAACTTCTTGTGGATGGTCCGGTTAACAAAAGGCAATCTAATAAAGTACCCATAAATATTGCCGCCAGGTACTAAGATACTTTCAATCTGGGCTGGTGATGTGTGAGGTTGATTTAGAGGTGAGTGAACCTAGCCTCTCTTCACTCGATCTTATCAATCCGTGATAGCTAGTTACTGCAGTTAGCCATTTCAATCGAGACGTGTGGGACAGTTCAGAACCCTCAGGCCTTGATAATAACTATATTTGACTAATAATAACGTTCATAATACGGAACGTCAATCATTTACTTGAATATATGTAACTTACACTTTGACCGTTTTTTTAGCTCGATATTTTGCCTGGCTGGGTGTTAGATTCGGGTTATGTTATCCTGATGGCGCTGGTCTAGTTATTTATCTATTCAATACAGGGGTGATCAGCAAAGGTGGTTTGCTCCAAGTAAGCAAAATTAGAGGTTTAATCTAAATAATATTAGCTATCTTATATCTTCACGAAACAAAAACCCCTACTGCCACAAATGACTCTATCTAGCATATCCTTCCCCACGCTTGCGGAGTGAAAAGTTAAGCCCTCTTATCATGAAGCACAGTTCAGTTCAGATTGGAGAAAATAATTTGCCGCAAGTACAGTGATTGGGTCAGACAAAAGCAGAACCTACAATGCGATTCCGCAATGGTTAGGATTGGCTGAGTAGCGGTAAGCTCGAAGAGAGAGTGCAATGATGATTTGTAGATACCAGCACACTCTGCTCTCGAGAAGGCGAAGCGTGGAGTTCATGCATGTCAGATCGAACATGTTCACCCGACGGGGGAGTGGGTGGTGAGGCAGTTGATGGGTAGGAAAAGTTTTTGTGGTTACTTCCTGATACCACTGCTCTTTCAATTCGTGAGATCATCATTTGGTATGGTAGGATGTGGAGGGAAGATGACGAGACCTAACGACACAGTTCGCTATAACGATGGGTGCTCGGACCCGCGAAGGTATAAAATTTGGATTTCCCCATTGCTTCTCAGCTTGTGATTTGGCGGGGCTTAGTTTCCTTGCGCCCATCTCCCACTGGAAAGCGAGCTTGAGGTGATGGGCTTGCTGGGGATGCATTATCATTACCGATATCGTTCGTAATGGCAATAGGGGGACTTTGGTCAACAATAATGCCTCAGGCTGCTAGTTATCACGGGAAGATAACAGAAACTTGTGGATTACCGGGAAGGGAAACGGATGCAACGGCATTGATGCTCCATCCCACCAGCGGGGCAGCTTTTCTTTCAATTAGCTTAGGATTTCGGTGGAGAGATCTATCATAGCATTAAGAGAAAGAAGTTAATTAAAACAACAAAGGTGGAGAAGGGTAAGAAAGGTGTGGATAGGTTTTGTACCCTCTCAGGATTTGTTTATTATACCTGAACTGCAAGACTAAATAGTGAACTGCAGTTTTGTAAATACAATGGGGATTCTCTGCCTTTCTGGTTACTGTTTAAGATTGATCGTATGCAGGGCGTTGCACAATCAGATTAACTACTCAAGGACAAAAGAGATTAGGGGCTAACGCATCTGAAATATTGGCAGGATATAGTTACCTTAATCCGTCGCGCCTCAGTCCATTGGTTAATTTGGCGGATGACTCGAATCCAGAGAATGAAGCTGGAGAAAACATCCAAGGGCAAGATGCATCACAATCCAACCAAGTTCAGGCTTTCCGAACGCAGAGTGACATAGACAACGGCGAATATCATCTGCCACGTTGATATAATCGTTTGGTGAAAGGAAGATTTGTGGCACGAAGCGTACCTGTACGAGGCCAAGTCAGGAAATCATCCCCGGCCAGGGGGGCCTTACAGGAGTTATCAAGCATGGTATTGTGTGGCCTCATGGTATGGAAGAATCTGGAATCTCCAGGATTACTATTTTTTATGTCGGGCTCTTGTAGAGCCGTTTCCAAGCGAGGGATTGGTGGGATGCATTGGGAGGAGGGGAAGAGGGGAAGAGGAGTTCTAACGTCTGCCTTCAGAAGTTTCCTCAGGAGTGTATGGAGAGGATTGTTTTGAGACCTAGAATGCTTGTCTGAGATATTTATGCAATGGCATCGGGCGGGTACGTCGACCACCTCATTTGATCCCCTGCTCATTGGAAGAATAGGTGTTCATGAGTAGCCACTGAGCTGGAACTTGCGTTGAAATGCACATATCTGCTGGTCGTTAGGTCCAACTCGCCATTTCTTGTCTTGTTTGTGTCCCCCTTGGGGCAGCGTTAAGTTTGGATGGAATGGGAAGTTGTTGCGAGCCGATATGACAAAAATGATAAATTAAATGGCTTTGACCTGAAAAGCGGCTTATTGTTGAGCAAAACGGGATTTCTAACTGGCTCAACTGATTATTTTCAATCATCGATAGCCAGACGATGTCATGATTCTGATTCCATTGACATGGGTTTTACTGGAGCCCTCCCCTTTAGATCGTGGAGGCCCAGACCTAACCATGGTTTATTCCACAATAGTGTTTCCTGTACTGCACGCTCTGTTTCAAATTGAGATATTATAATAACTGCCTTTCTCTGCACATATTAGTCGCAGGTCCCCTGTCAGGAATCGGGCACTTGAAGTAGACATTTGGGCGATTTGTCTGATTGTAAGGGCCCCAAGGCATGGATTATTTATAGAAAGAAAGGACCCTAGCAATTTTGATTCATCCTATCCATGCCTTTGGGTGGCAACTATATCGAATATGGAAATTCCCAAGAGAACGTCCGGAGAATGGAGTTGGGATCTTCAATTGCCATGTATCTGATGCGGGCTAGTATCGACGGCCAGATATCGACGGCCAGAAGTTAATATCGCCCTAAGCCTGACGTATATGCGGAAGCCCACCAGCAATATCAGGCCTCAAACTGCAACCCATGAGGCATCCAATCGCGAGCGACGCCAAGTAGGATTGGCCAATCGTTCAACCATCCAGGTCACGGGGTCAGGGCATTGATCTCACGTCGCTCGGCGCCACACCGTCCGCATTCTTTCTTCTCTCTGCTTCGCTTCTCTGTTCCCAATCTCCACTTTCTCGGGTGCTTTGACTGCACTGCATCGCATCGTCGTCTCCCTTTTGGCCTAAGGGTTCGAGTATAGTATGAGCTAGAATGACTGGCCTCACCCAGCCACTATCGATTCTAAAGCCCGCTATATCCCAGCGGGTTGATGGTCGCGTTGCTCCAACAATGACCCAGTTGCCCAGTGGCCCAGTATCCTGCACAGCTCCGCTCCATCAATAGCCCAAACATCCAGGAACAGCTCCGCTCACGTACTCCAATCTGCCCCGCCAGATTCATGCGGAAAGCCGTGAATGGGAATTTCCCCCTCATGGACGCAGAATGGGTATGGTGTGATATGTAATGTATGTATGTACGTACATACATACTTGTACATGTACATGTACTTAGTACTACTGTACAAGTCGATGACTGGGGCCAGGCTAGGCCCGGCGGAACGCTGCAATCCCCTCCGCCTTGCTCCGGCCGGAGCCAATTGCTGGAAACGTTGGGCAGAAACCTAAGGTCATTTCCAGGCAAGAAAAATTTACCATGCCACTTGGCTTGCACGGCATTGTGAGGCATCGCCTTACCTGACATTTCTGGCCTCTCCTCATTGCAACTTACTTCCTAAGCCTTGTGTTAAATTAATCCATTGGATAGTTAGAGTACTTCCGTCGTTATTTAAATCATTTCTACCATTTAATTGGAAGACGTGAATGTCGTTCTTGCCTCCTAGACTTCCCACAACACTTGTTTTGTCTTGTTTTCTTACTATTTCTAGTTTATGAGTTTTTTTTTCTTTTTTTCCTTTTTTTTCTTTTTTTCCTTTTTTTTCTTTTTTTTTTCGTTCTCCTTATTTTCGGTCCCCATATCCGGTAATGAATTATTGCTTACAACATCGTGCATACCTCCGGCTTTCGGGCTTGCATCAGCAACCCACTCTCGTGCGGTTGGTACACATCCGTGAATTCAACCAAAATCCCGTCATATCGTGAGACGTGGCCCAATGGCATATAAAATGCCTACGAATTGGTCGATGAATTTGCCTTCCACCCAGCTGCCTGTGAGTATGTCTTCCTAGGGCTTCCACCATAGCTCCCAATGGAAGATACCCCCTGCGTCATCTGCGAGGGCAGTTCGACATGTGCTTTGTTGCATTCCTGTTTCCTATTACATCGCCTCCTTCGCTGTTCCTTGCCAGCTTCATCCTCTCATATCTTAAACTTCTTTGGCCTTGTCACTGTGTGTCACTCTCTTTGACGACTCGTTTGCTTTTCTCACCCCTCACCTTTCTACACTTTTAAATCAGCGAATGCCCCCGCCAGCGCCCAGTGCCTTCTCGATATTCTGATAGATCATTCGCCAGTTGAATATGGCAAAGAAAAAGAAGGCTAAGAAACAAAACAATAACCCTCCTCCCAGCTTCACGAAACCCTCTATTACGAGTGACAACGATATCGACACCAATTCATCTGTAGACAGTGCTTCCCCGGTGGCTGCGACTTTACAAGATGTCAAAGCCTCCGTTCGAGTATGCAAAACTCCCTCAATTTGAATATCAAACTTTCGACCTTGAAACTCTTCAGTTCTCGAGCATTCCAGTCATTCCTATCTTTGAGAAGGTTGGAACGGTCGACGATGGTAAGGTCACTGCTGACGTTGAGTCAAACAAGGATAAGGGTCAGGATGATCCACCAATTACTGACCCAAGTGAACCTGTTTCATCCCCTGTCGAAGCCTCACTAGCCGAGCTCTCGAACGGTGCGTTCCATTATATATCTTCATCGCTCCTCTCACTCTCCTCTGTTCTTTTTCTAGTTCTTTTCTTTTTCAATCGTTTCATGCAGTGCTCTTGTACTTGATAATGCATCTTTGATTCCACGGTTTTGTTTTGTATTAGAAGCCTCTTGTGGATTCATAATTAATGTTTGATATGTAAAGACACCAACGGAGAAGAGCCACCTCCATCTAACATGATATCCACTGGAAATTCAACTGACTCTGTTCCAGATGTAGTTGACAAGCAGGAGGAAGCAAAGGAAGAGACGGTAGAGAAATTGGAGGAAGAACTGCGTGAGGACGAATTCGCTGAAGATGGGACAGAGGGGAAAACAGAGGAAGCTTCGATTGAAGGTGGCGGCGATCGCAAGGAGGATATACCAGATGAAAATAAACAAGAGGAGAATGGAAATGGGGTAACCGCGAGCGAGGACGTCAGTCCTTTGGCTGATGCCAGAAGTCCAGAAGACGTTGAACCCGAATCGCCCAAGGCCCCAGAGAATGAGCAAGTTGATGCTCCCGGGGAAACTTCCCCAGATATCCCCGAGGCCTGTGATAACGAAGGTAATACAAATATTCTGTTTTTGGGAAGTGCAGTACTGACCAGCATAGATGATACAGTTTTCCCAGATGTCGATCCCGAAGCTGAGGTCGACCAGGTGAAGGCAGAGAGGGAGGCTGAGGCTAATGTTGATGACGATGATTATGATGAAAACATCGTATTGGGCCATTGTCTTGAAGAAACAGAAGAGCCTGTTAATGAACCCAATGAAGGAGACGAAGCAGCCGCTAATGAACCTGATGCACCTGGTGCGGAGGCGCCCGGACCGGATGATGCCATAAAAGCCGACGAACAGGATTCAGAATTGCACGAGGCAGACAATCCTGTTGAAGTTGTATCTCCCAACTTAGAAGCACAAAGCGACCCTGAAGAATCTCCAGCTGTTGAGCCGACTGGAGATCCACAGGTTGAAGATAGCCCAGAGGTCCCAAATGTCGAAGATGCTGTGAATACCCCGGCTTCTGTAGATGAGCACGCTGCGAAGGATCCTGGGGATGAAGAGCCTAACCCTCCAAAAGAAATGCCAACTGAAGATACATCAGTCGAAGAAAGATGTCGTACAGAAGAGGAACCAACTGATAAGTCAACTCAAGAGCCACTAGCGGAGGACACACCAGAAGAAGAACCTTCCAGCGCAGATGAGCCGGCCCCAGCGGAAGTGCCGCCTAGTGACGATACACGTACGGGTGATTCTCCCCCCGAAGAAGCACCAGCCGAAGAGCCCGCTTCACCAGAAGAACCAGCTCCTGAAGACCCCTCTTCTGAGGAACCTGTCCCAACAGTAGAGCCTACAGCCGAGGAACCAGCCGCCGGGACCCCGCCCATCGAAGAGCCCGCCGTAGTAGAAGAATCGCTCCTGGAAGAAACGGCAACAGGCGATGCCCCTCATGGAGGAGCTTCTGTTGATAATCCGCCTGTCGAAGAGACCTCTACCGAGGGTGCAGACGCTGAGAACGCCCCTGCTGAGGACCCTTCTCTGGAAGAGCCGACTCCGTTGGAAGATGCTCCTAAAGAAGAAGTAATTGTGGAGGAACCAGCTACAGAGGAGGCATCACAGGCGGATGATCCTCCAGACTCAAACACTCCGCCAGATGAACCGACTCTAGAGCTAGCTGTTAACGAGGAGCCTCCCATTCCGGAAGTATCAGCGCCTACGGAAATCCCTACTCAGAACGTTCCACCAGACCAGTTACCCGCTGACGAATCGGTTGCTGAAATTGCTCGTGGAAATATTGATGAAGAAGTCATAATCGACTCTCCGGCGGGAGAATCAGCAGAGGGTGTCACATCATCGAAGGCAAGACGGAGAAAACGTCGACATCGCTCGCAATGGGAGCGTGAGAGGCGAGGATCGAAGAGCTCCTCTGACAGTTATGCTCTCCGTCGTCGGAAGGGCGAACAAACGGTTTTTGCCAATCCAATGTCGGAAGCACTTGGCGAAGCAAAGAAACAGAGGTTGTCAAGGTTAAGTTCGAATGAGGATCGAGCCGAGCGACATAGAAGGGAAAGTCGCAGATATAGCGAAGGATGGGCCAGGAGGGGGAGCGCCGCAAAGGATTCATTTGATGCAAGTCGCCATTCGAGTTCCTCTCGAAGCAGAAGAGAGTCGACCTCATTTACCCTGTCAGGCATATCCGCCAAACCAGTTGCACTACTAAAGCTTATGACCAATGGAGAATCCAAATCCAATGGACCCCTGCTCAAGCTCAACGTAAACGACCAGTACGAGAGAAGATCATCTACATCCCGTCCATCGGACTCCTCAAGCAGTTCCCGCCCCCACTCCAATTCCCACTCACATCGCAGACATCGACAACATGGCGAGAAGGAGTCGAGGAGTCGCGAGCATAGGTCACCAAGGGACTCGAGTGATGATGCCGATGCTGAGAGGCGCAGGCGGGAACATCGAAGATCGAGAAGGGCTGATGATCTACTGGAAGAACGACCAAGGAGGAGGGATAGCCATTACGAAGGACGAAGACGAGAGCGACGCGACTCTGACAGATATCGTCACAACGGTCCTTTAGACAAACTGAAGGACAGGTTCATGGGAAACCTCCGGACCGTCCTTGCCGCTGCTGGATAAACAGCCTTATTCTCTTACATTCTACCCGTATTTTGATCCTTTACTAAAGCCCTTCTCACCCCCGTTCAGAGTTCATTCCCGTTCTTGTCATTTCTCATTTCTACATTATTTTATATTTAATAATTTTTTATGCGGACGGTTCGGCTTCCTTTCCTTGTTTTACAATTTCGTCATGTTTCCCTCCGTTTATTCTATTTGCAGGCTGGGAAGTAGGATGAGCATATGTTGTGCAGATAATGGATTGGATCGTCTTTTCATTCGAACTGTACATTTTAGGCTTTTCCTTTCGTGGTTTCGCTTTAGCATTTTGCAAGCGTTTTCATATCTTTGTCCTTTGGCTTGTGTGTTCGTCGTTTGCTATTCCTTACATTTTGACAACCCCCCCCCCCCCCCCCCACCTTTAAACACGTGACGGTCTTTTGGGGGGGAGAAGCCCACCTCAATATGTGTATATATTTATCCCCTATCCTCCCTCTCCCTCTTCCCCCCCCCCCCCTCCCCCTTTTTTTCTTACTTCACATATTTCACTTCTTGTACTTATCCACCTTGGTGTATCAAATACTTCCCCTTGCTTCACTTCCTCCTGTCTGTCTTTCTTACTTCTCTCGCACCAAAAGTTTGGGCTATGGCTTTCTGCCATTCCCCGTTGGTGGATTTTATGGCCATTTGAAATTTATAACCATAGCTTCGAATTCTCATTTAAAGTTGTTCCATCCGTGAAATAAGTCAAATCCAATATCTCCCATCATCTCCTTTGCCTTGCAGCCGCTCTCTTCAGTGAAGTGCATAGTTCGAGCGTCCGCCCCTATGGAGCATTTGAGAACCTTATCCTAACGGGCCCCCGAAGATTTGCTTGGAACTGCTCCTTCAGGCGATTGCGCGAGGAGGGCCGCGGTGAAAAGAACGAAAAATCACTCCATACTTTGCCATGTGAAATGTAGATTAAATCTAGTGATCTTCGAGATGTGAGCTTCTCCAACAATCCACCAGTGACAAAGGCCCCAAATTGCTCTAACTACCCTACACTTTCTCTCATCACACACAAAGCAAAACATTCAGAATTATTGGCCGGAGTAAAATTATTGATCCTGAAGGTCTCAGCACTGAGTAGGTGACAGATGGGCACATGACATGAGCCATCGGGTGGCCACGCTCAGCAAACAGCGCTCCTTCACTCTTCTCAGGCCATTCAGGAACCCTGTGTGGAGATCAAGAATATTGTGAATTAATTTTTCTTCACTTCGCTAGTTTAAAAGCGTAGATTTCTGCAGATGTCTATCGTTCGCTTTTCATTCGGAACAGATCCAGCATTCCTAAGTCCATGTTTAACAGCCAATATTACCGCTAAAGAAGAGTCTAACCTGCTCCATCCAAATATTCCGAGCCCCAGTTACGTCCACCTTTCCCCACAGGGAGATTACTTGCAAAGATGGTAGTTTCTCCATCGATATATGAAGAATAGTGCAGAAGTAGGCGGCTATATCAGAACCGATGGAGCTCCACCGTCGAGGAAATTTTCAGGAGGCTAGTATATAGGGGTCAGTATATCCTTCTTATTTCTATTTCTGACTCTTGCTTGCCTCACCCCGATATCTTTATCTCTCAAAATACGTTTGACAGTTTTTCTTTGGGAAGGCCTTCGCCTGTCAGTTGCTGATTCGGGTGGAGTTTCTGGCATTGCACCAGATGACTCTTCCCACCCAAATATAGAGAACATGGTCTCTACCATATCTTCGTCTATAAAGGTTTTCATCTACTGATAGTGGAGCAGAGCCACTGGCGGATCTATTAAACCATTTAAAGAAGGAGATATCCTAATCAGGCACTGCTCCAGTGGATACCATTGAGAAAGACTTTGATGTCATCCAAGCAAAACTCAGAGGGCAGGACAGGTAAAATAGCATTGATTCGGCGGCCAATTTAGCAGGCAGTGGCTTGGTTTCTGCCAAATCATTGGATGCTTTGGGTACCTGAAGCTTTTGGCGGCCACCACATACGCTGACCCTCTCTGGATCAATATCCCTAATGTCTCTCGTGGCGACATTCAAATCAATTCCGAATACGTCGCCTACTCAATCAATTATGTGTCTGCCATCTGCCAGGGGCAGAACGTATCCATCATCACCTGGCCACAAGGCAGCATAAACACTCAATGGTCACTGAAATACTGGCCCTCCACCCAAGACATCGTTGAGGATTTTATTGCCGTTAGCCCTGACTTTGGCGAAACCATTCTCACCGAGTTCATATGTCCTCCTCTGCAGCGTGCCCTCTTCTGTACCCCAGCCTTCGCCCAATAAGCCTCTAAATCAACATTCCTTGACGTATTGCGTTCCAACGGAGGTGACTCCACATACGTGCCCACCCCACCACCACCATATACTCAGCTTTTGATGACATTGTGCAGCCCATGAGCGGACTTCAAGCTTCTAGCCTAATGCGCGACGAGCGCAACATCTGCGTGACCAATAATGAGATGCAGAAAGTGTGCCCCGCCGTCCTGCTGGAGGCATTTACACGCACACAACCAGTCTAATCAACCCACTTACATGGGCGCTGATCCAGGATGCTTTGCTTTGCTGAATCCGGGCCCCGGGAATACTGAGCGTATTGGACATCTTGAAAAGGAGGTTTGCGATAAGTTCGTCCCTGACGAATTGGATATTGACGATCTCTTTGATACAGTGGGTCTCGTCTTTATTTTCCTGGGAGAAGCGGTGAATTATACAGAAAAGACGAACGTGGAACCGGCTACTAAGGGCTACGCGGAAATTTGAGGGTTGACAAACAGATGACATTGGTTGTTGTAGAGAAAACGCGGGAGAAGTAATTGATGGAATAATCAGTTGTAAACTATATTTTTGTATAATGAAACGGTGGAGAAACAGCTTTTGCTTGAATCTTTTAATAACAGAAGAACATTTTTTATTCTTTTCCCTCTCAAATATTTAGGAGGTAAGATTAAGCTTTAAGCATATACTTTTTGGCCCATGGTTCCTTTTAACCTTAAATGAGCCTAATATATGCCAGGCGAGAATAATAAGATGCAAGTAATATAAAATATGATTTCTACCGCCTCCAAACTGGTATCATAACTCCACAACAATGGGGTCATTCAGCAGTAGATTCTCTGGACCCTCCACTGAAGAGGCATTGACGAATATGGCTGTTCTCGCAGAATTCGCCATTTTCTCCTGGCCAATGAATACCAGTTTCAACCTAGCGAACAGGACACAGCAAGCCATCCAAACAAGAGAGGGCCACCCACCCCAGTTATTCATAACTCCCTCATATATGCGCCTTGTCCGGTCAAGGACAACTTCTTTTTCTCGTCCATTTGCAACATGAATATGGCCAAATACCACAAGGGAAGGCTTAACACGAGCTATTTCAGCCCTTAGTAATGGGCATCCAGCGCGGTGAAAATCGCGCATATCGAGATGATGGCGCGGTGGCCCGTGGACTACAACGATGTCTGTATTTATTGGGATGATGTCGGTCCAGGCATCCTCGTCACGAGCGTGTTGAAATGCAGATACGCCGTATTGTGGTGTCCATGGGCTGCCGTATACGGAGAGAGATCTTATTTCTGGTGGTGTGGATCGATTTTGAAGAGATTCATCACCCTCATCAGCGGCTCGATGGGGCCTGTGATCAGGATTTTTTTCGTACCCACGTTCAAAGTTAAGAGTAACCGACGAATTCTGTATGTAATGAATCGTGCCCCAGTTCAGGTCGCGGCGGGTGCGGGAATCTCCATATCTGCGCTCGGGATATTTTTCCAGAAATCCCTCATCCAGTAATACATCGTGATTCCCCGCCACAACGACTTTATGCTGATGTGGTTGTGAAGATAGCCAACTTAATTGTGATTGGATTTCATCGAAAGAACCATTTTCTGTGAGATCCCCAGCATGGATTAACACATCGCCTGGCAGGACATCAGGTTGTGTGTTATGGGTGTCCGATATACAAACGATTTTGATCGGAACTGAAGGGGAAGGCCGGGAAGCTGAAAGAGTGGATGATTGATGTAACGGGTGTTTATGAAGGAGCTTGTATGCTATTGAACGTTAGCGCCATCCTGGGAGGTTAATGCTTCGGGGAGTAGTGCTGGTAATGACAAAGAAATTAGCAGTTGCACCGTACATATTACCGAAGCGAGCGGGGAGAAGGTAACTATCCTTTGTCACAAAAGCCGCCAACCAATCCTTATTATTTTGTTTCCAACTGGTTCCAGATTGATGATGCCCTATCAGAATTGGTAACAACAACTACATACATTCCGCTAATTTTGACAACGCGCTTAGCCAACAACACCATCTATTATCAACAATCAAAATTAGATCATGGCACATCCTTCAGAACTTTCCCGTACATAGCAGCTTGGATTGTTGGTAGCGAATTAATCTCCAAAGCGGCTAAGTCAAAGGATCTGACCAGATATCTATAGTTATTTTGAATGCAGAGAGTTGAACCTCGTAGTGCAAGCGGCTATTCGAAATATCAAACCATTGCTCACCCCTTAATCATAGGAAAGTATTACGTCCGTAGGGCGCGGTAAATAAAGCATAAATACCAAGCATCAGAAAGACCACTGAAGCAGGAGGAATCAGATCGTACAACAAAATAGTATCGAAACAAATGTCCCACCACACATTCTTTTTGACCAAGTTCATACATCCCTCCCCCCCCCCCCCAAAAAAAAAAAAAAGTTCTAGCAAGAGACGAGTGTGACTCTAAGTTCAAAGGAATCACGCGCCCTCCTCTATCTCAGTCCAAGGCCCTGCATACACTCCTTTTTGACGTACATCCTACAGCCAAGTAGAAAACTTCAAGGATTCAACGATGGGTTGCGAGTCATCGAAAGTATCCGCTTAGATAGAATAGCAACGCCCACGGCCAGCGCGTGGTGGACTTCCCGGAGGTGTGAAGATAGGAGCGCCTAAGGAGGTAATGATACACCTTCCGCGAAACCGAGCCGATGCCCATGGAATTCCCATCCCACAGACCACACATGAGATAGAGAGGTCAGTGCTGGAGAACGCTTTGAACACGATGGCCGAGTTCCTGAGTCAAAGGAATGAAGATATGACCGTGACTGCAGTTGGAGGTGTAGTCAATACGCTTTTTCTTCACAACCGCATGTCCACCCACGACGTTGATATCTTCGGATCGAATCTCAATAACAATTCCCGAGTACTGTTTGACGAGGCGATGCAATATGCTATCCGCCGTAGTTCCGCGCCGCTTGGTACAGACTGGTTTAATACAGAAAATCAGATCTGGTTGTCGCCGTCACTTCACCGAGAATTGACTGAAGAGGCAATGCGACAGAATGTAGTCGTGTTTCATCGGCGCGGGCTCAAGGTGCTGGCCTGCACCATGGAATTATGCCTTCTCGGGCAAAATTTCCAGACTGCTCACAGGAGGGTCTCAGATTCGCCCCTACGACTTAGCCGACGCCGTTCATTATCTCCATCAGTTCATCAGCTGTCACGGTGGCCGACCCGTTTCACTGGCTATAATCGAGGGATGGGCTAGAAGATTCAACCATTCCACATCACGGAGCTTCCTGAGGGATAGAGTGAATCCGGAATACAGGGGATTATATCGAGCAAACGGCATTGTTTGAGTTGTTCGGCAACTTGACTCAGAAGGCAAGAAGCAGGTATTTTGGCGGACCCTGAGCATTAATTCTTCTTGCAATACCAATATTGTTGGACCCTTTTATGTGAATTTTGCTTTTCTTTTCCTTTCTTTTTCTCTGCCCCCTTTTTTTTTTTTTTTTTTTTTTTTTTTTTTTTTTTTTTTTTCTTTCTCATGCTCTTCTATTTCAAAGTTGTTATTATTGAGGCAGCGTAACGAGCGGAGGAGTTCAGAATCGGATCTCGCGCTTGGTGGTATCGGGGCCATGTACGCAGCAAGCATAAATGAAAACGCACCATCAAGAATCAGTGACAAATTGGAAGCCTCACTCTGCTGGGAGTAGCAAACGCACTGCCTTAGGTAAAATGTATATGTGGAGTCCAGTGGACAATATTTTTCGCGAGAAAGTCCGGGTCTGCTCGTTCATCGGTTGCGCCGGATAAAACAAGTACCATCAAGAGGAGGGATGACTAGTATCTCCTTAAGCGCAGGCACATTCTCGGCCCACAGAGGTGCCTTTTCATATTGCCGCTCACTCTCTGGCTTGTTTCTAGCTTCCTCAGCCTCCTCAACCGACATGAGTGCACGGCCACTTCTTGAGAGCCCAAGTTTCACTCTCGCATTGAAAGCTCTCACAATGAGATAGGTTGTGGCTGCTAGGAATTCGTATCGGGACGGATCATCATCCTTGGGGTCTGGGATATATCGCTAATACGCCACTGGGGCTGCCTCCAGAGCCACTCAAGAACATTCCTATATGCGAATACTGTAGGCTACTGGGGCAAAAGAGCTCAATCACCACCAGCGCACTGCTGGTAGAAGGGCCGACCAACCGCGGGACCCCCAACACCCCCCCTCAGACCAGCTACCACAGAGTACAGTACTTCCTCTCAGTGGCTCCCTTCAGTGGCCTCCCCACAATGGCTCCTTTTTAATAATGGACTGGACCACTCAGTCCTAGGACTCACGGGACTTCTAGGGCACACTCCTGGGATGTCTCTTGGCACTGTTAAAATGTCCAGGGTATTTGTTAGGAATTTTTAAGTCCATTCTGGGATCGAACCCATGCATGTTGACCACAGCAGGGCTCACGCTTAACAGTCTCATAACCTGTAGGATACTGGGGCAAAAGAGCTCAATCACCACCAGCGCACTGCTGGTAGAAGGGCCGACCAACCGCGGGACCCCCAACAAATACTTCGTCAAGCACAAAGTACTCATACAGGCGGTACAAGGTATAGAGTGAGCTGTCCTGGAAAATGCCTCTAGGTGCCGCATATTTACGCAAGGCCACAATAGAAGAATACCTCTGGAGGTCTTTGATAATCTCTTCTGGAGGTGGGGGAGGAAATATGGGATAGTCCTCAGGAATAGGTTCGTACTCTTGTGATGCAGCGGGGGAGGCCGATGGTTTCTTATCCCAGGCCCTCGCTTTCCAGGTGTTTAAAATGTGAAAGAGTGAATCAAACATTGCAATTAAAAAGAGCATGCAAAAGTCTAGTAAGTTTTTCAATGTTAGTATTTGATAGAGGGAGACATTGACAAACTGGGTTGAGGGGATCAAGCGGCCAGTCTGATTAGTCATCAAAATACCCAAAGAATGCCCATTCCACTCAGGGGTTAAATAAAGTGGAAAGTGAGTGACTCATCCCTTGTTTCTGCTTGTTCTACATAGTACTCACAAAGCACATTTACACATAAACTAAAAACAATGTACCTGTGATATAATTCACAAACAGGAACACATAAAATTCACATTATACATAGAAAAAATCATCTCAATCATATCAGGGTGTTATCCTACACATCACACATAACATTTGGCAAGCATGGCAGCTAAAGCGGTCATTCCAACAATTGCACCCCATTGCCGGATGTCCAAATCCATAACTGACGACGCGGCGTTGGGAGATGAAGCACTGGGCGGTGCTCCGTTGGTGGGCGTTCCTCTGGAATTTGCTCCGCCAGGAGAGCCGCCAGGGGAAGATTGTCTGCCGGGCGGAGTACCCTCTCCCATTCCAGCAAGCTTGGCTAGAACAATTTGAAGCACAGACAATTGTTCTCCAAGCGTCTCATCATCATCATTGTCGTCGTCTTTGTCATCACGGTCGTTATCGACGTCTACCCAGTCGTAGCTACACATGTGATATCCATCTTCTTCATCACATTCGTCCACAGCCTCCCTGGCAGAAGCCTCGACTTTCGGCAGAACAAGGTCGTTCATAAAAGGGGCCAGTTGCACTGTGTTCCTAAGGGCCTTGGACAGGATCGCCTTGAAAGTTTTCCGCCGAATATCGCACTTCTCGTCCGGTTCGCAGGCAGGTTCGAACATGATATCGCGTTTGAAGAAAATGCTCGCTCCCTTGAACAGGTCCTCAACGCGAGATTTCCAGGTTGAATCTCCGTTTGTCTTAAAGGGAGCAAACGCAATTAGTTAAGGTGAAATGGCAAATAGATGGATTAGAGGCAGTCCTTACCATATTGTACATGTTAGCCGCGCCAGACAAAAGGGAGCCAACATTAGCACTCCACTGGTCATCATTGATCTCCTTGCAATCAGTATTGCCATCGGCAGCATCAAAAACCTTAAAGTCGTCCGTTAGCAACCCAATGTCCGACATCCAATCCCAGGCCTTCCCCGCCCATTCTGCATAGGTTTGGTTGTTCGTGTATCGAGCCAATCTCGAACTCAATTCAAAGAATGCGCCGTTAGACATGCTATTTTTAACACTATGTCCGTCGGAAAAAGTATTTACTCTCCAATTAAGCCCTCCACGACATTTCTCGTCGTCCCAGCGCCTAGCTTGGGTCTGAAAAACAAGCCTGGCGAACCCAGCCCATTCATCAGAACGAGCGTCAAATGAGAATTCGGCAGCTGACAATGCTGCCAAACCCCACTGGGCTTGATCATCGTTACCTAAGCCGGCAGACTGATTGGCGGGCTGGTAATCTTGATTCTGTCCAGCCTGGGCCAATAGCCCTTGCTTGATCATGTCGTTGTACGATGAATCTCCAGTGAAATGCCAATAGTCCACCAGGCTCCCGAACAATACTGCCGAGTGCCACCAGGTATACGGTCTGGGCAGGATACCAGGCGATTCGCCAGGTTCATTGCCTCTGTAGTATCTCGCTGCACCACGGGTGATAGCGGTTGCAGCGGCTTTTGTAGAATCTATTCGTTGTCAGTTCAATGAATAATTGATTTGTGCTTATACTTTTGGATGATAAATATTAAACACACCAAGTGAACCGACACTCAAATCATCATCGTCTGCATTAACAAGCCCGATCCCAAAACTCGCTGTAGCTGTCAGCAAGGCCCAGAACTTGTCCACCTTCATGATAGCTGCAAGACCCCCCAGGAACGGGAGCAAAAACACTGAATCAAAGGCCAAAGTATAACTAAAAATCGGATTCGCTTGAGTAAAGAGCGTAAAACAAATAGATGATGTTGAGAAGATAGAAATATGAATACGATTAAAAGAGATAAACGGAGAGGGATAGCCAGCTATAAATATTTGATCGCGAGAAAAAAGAACGCCGGTTATTGTTGATAAATATGAAAAATACCTACGTAAGTCCCTACAAACGCTAGTAATCTAACTGGTAAAAATATTACCATCCCTCCTGAACTGTTTAGAGGTGATCCTGGGTTCTGCTTAGCGCTTGTTGTGTCTGTCACTCATCTGGCCGGGTACCGTTGAGTCCCTATCGTTTAGAGCCAAAACCCCGAAATATTGAAGCTGCACTGGAGCAATTTTGACTCTGATACCGGAATTTCAATATAAATTTCTAGAGTGTGCAGGGACTTATTTTCCCCGCCTCCGCGGAAGCTGACTGATATCAGAACCCTCAATCCCTATCAATTGGTCGAACACTGGAGAATTGGCAGGGTCACTCTTCCGACAAATCTGCGGACGCGCAATACGAGACGGCTTCAACATGCTGTTGGCTTTGCAATTTGGAGAGTTGTATGTAGCCTGGGGCGTCACTAGGTGTGGCTTGGAAGTATATGTACGCGTGTATGCTGTTAGCCGAGCGCTACAACTTGCTGCAGGTCTCAAATATTTTCTATGCCGAACTACGCCGTACCAGTGATTCGTGCGTTTCTCGAGATTCGTAGAAGAGCAGGTTTCGCTAAAGTGCTGACCTCACTTGCTTGGTTGCGGCGCAGCCCTGCGACCCAGTGCTCCGTAGTTATATAAATTTGATAGAGCGTATGTAAGGTCAAGGATGATAATCATGGTTGACAGCTTAGAGTCTATGCTCTCCCACCCTGTCATTGATCAACTCTCGATCCCCGGAGCGTTGAGTTCCTTTCAAACAATATATTTGCAGGACAGGTATATGATGAGTGCACGGTTCTTCCACCCACTGTCCCTCTGTCCTAATGCCTCACTTCCGCCCATGACATTCCACCCTACCTTGAACTCCATCCCATATAAACTTGGCCAGGCATACCTGCACATAGTCAGAATGACTGAACCTGATCCCTCCCCACCATGCACATACCCCACAAACCCCAACGAGCCCTCTCTACCTGTCTCAAGAACAACGGGCGCCTGAATGCCACCAGGCACAAGCAGGGGTCTAAGGTTGGGCGACTCTATCATGGAATTCTCTGCAGGAAAGAAGGTACGGTACAAGGCCGCGTCAGCAGAGACGTTCTTGAGAAAGGCTGCTTCCTAGCCACACGCCACTGGCAAACCCCCCGCAAGGTCCACCTGCAGGTTTGACTGCACTGCTGTACGTTGATATTTGCTGAATCCCAAGGGGAGTTTTCCGCGGGAACAGAAGAAGTCGTTCGAGCTGATTAGGCCCAATGAAAATACTGAAGTTGCTAGCCAATATGACGTTCCCCCGTACTGCGGGTGTATGAACTTACTTTCTCATGCACGGAGGAGTGCTTACGTATATTTGATGAGATACCCAGGTCACGGTAGGTGTGTTGCTCCGGTGGTAGGAGAGGGGTGGCCGTGGGCTTGGTTGCTTGCGCGATCTAGCAGCCTGTTTAAAGCAAGTCGATCAAGCAGATGCTTGTAGTTATCGTCAAAGAAAGATGGCTTGTTGAGGGGAAAGTAGGAAGATGCGATTCTCGCTGGCGGTCGTCATCGTGCCTTGAAATAACAACTGCGTACGCCGCTATGATCTATGATGTTCCGGAGCCGTTTGTCCTTGCGCAAAGACAAGCTATTCGAAATAATCGTCAGCAAGCAAAGTTGGCGACGCAGACAGTGGTGAGTCAGGCGAATTGGAATGTTGTCGCATCCCGCGATGAGGGCGATGTTATCGAAAGCGCAGTTCGATCAATGCAGTGTTCTGGATGGTTAGGCCAATGATGGAGTGAAAGGAAAATAAACCAGGTGTAGACCTCAGGATGTAGCAGGCTACCTAATTGAGAAACACTGTTACTTCCTTCTGAGGCCAAAGCGATGTTTCCTGGATGTAAACGCTTGCGATTTTCACTTCGGGTGGCGGCCACTTCTCCTACCAAGCCTATACTCACTGTGTACTTGATATATTGTTACTCTGTCGGGTATAATTTTTTAAAAAACAGTGAATTGACAGTAAATATATATATATGTATATAGATTATGAATTATAAAAATTGGGCCTAGGAATGCGAGGCGTAGATGTCCGGGGCGTCCCAATCATGAAATCAAACTCGGGATCAAGACACAAGTCCCCATCCGTGACGCCACTCCAATCAGTCGAGAAATTCAACGGCATACTAATACCATGGGGATCCCAGCCAACGACATTGCCACCGGGCGTTATCTGGACATGCGGGTGGGTAGGGGTTTCAGGAGGTGGCATCCCCGACTCACCACCACCACCACCACCACCAACGCCCACCGTGAGAGCTTGAACAGCGGCCTCAGTCATCCCATCAGAACTATTATTATTGTTGGTATTGTTGATATTGGTATTATTGTTATTGGCCGGTGGGTAATCATCCGTATCGCGGATCCGACGAATGATTTTCGTGAAAAGGAGGAAAATCCAGCCGCTGACGGGCCAGGTGCTTTGCAGTTCCCGCAGCGCGATCATCGACAGCCGGATCTTGACAGAACCCAGTTGTTCGCGGACTGGGTCGCCGGAACAGATGTGTTGCGTGTGCATGGACATGGCGGCGAATAATGCGGGGATTACATGTATCGGACACTGGTTAATGGCAGAGGAGGATAGTACTTCTTCGATGATGCGTACCATTCGATTTGCAGCGTTCATGGCGACCTGATGAGACGTTGAGCGGGAGGGCGATGATGGATTTTCGGGAGTTCTTGATCGGTGAGTTAAGATGCGGAACCAACTAGCAAATATAGAGAATTAGCAAGTCCTATTAGAGTAGCGGGGACTCGCACATAGCGGAGTAGCATAAAGAAATAAATAAAAATTTGGTTGGGCTCACCAGTGGGCAATGTGTAGCATACCCGTCCATACACATTCTCCGCTGCGTGAGAGGTGAAGTTCTGGTGGTAGTCGGCGTTCCCAGTCCAGGAGCCACTCCTCGCATAGTTGGAGTGTATCAGCCTGTGCGGCGAGTGTCTTATCATGCGCATTAAACGATTTATCTATTATCCTTTCGACGATTTTCGATAGCTCGCTAAGAAAAAGAACATATAAAATATCGACTCTCTCCTGAACACCGAAGATTTCTGGATCTGGAGCGGGTTCCTCCTCGAAGTCTGACTCGTGGAGCTGTTCTACATCGCAATCGCGAAGGCGGATATGAACAGGCCTCCCCAGCGCCGCAGCTGCGTGTTTGTCTTCAGTGAAAAGCGACCACCAAATCTTTTTCCACAGCCGCTGGTCTCTTAAACTCATGTCAGAATTGTGCGTATCTCTATGCATCCCGATCGTCAATGCCAAGCTGATGGAGTTACCAAGCCAGTGCCACGTATCTTTCTGGTCAGTTGGGCTATTCCACCAAAAGCTCATTAAGAAAAGGGACTGGCAGATTGTAAGTTTATCAGACTCGTAGTCTAAATCATATAAAGCCTTTGTTCTCTTGAACAGCGCTAGTCTCGCATCGTATCTGGACTTAAACCCGGCATCTTTGAGCACTGATACATCGCAATGGCCTGAGCCCATGAACAGGACGGCTTGAAGCAGCAGAAACGAAGGAGGGTTGGTTGGGTCGGCATAGCGGCAAGCAAAATCACGACGGTCCAGAATCGGGTAATGTTTATGGACGTATTTGAAGTAAACGCGAAACAGCTCTCTGCATATCTTGACGCTGGGGATGGAGAAAGCATCCTGTCGCTGTAGTAAATCCATCGTCGCGGCATCGCAATTACGGCCTTGGGAGGAAGGGTTCATCCTGGGATGTAGTGGAAGCAGAACGTGCCGCTTTGGAACGGGCTGGCTCTTCTTGCTGGTTTCCTGAAGCAAGTATGTGAGATTGAACGTCTCGCCCAGATAAACCACCTGGCCGCCAGGCTTGACCAGGCTGGGCCGTTCAGGTGAGCCTCCAGCATTCTCTAAGACCTGTGCATAGAGCGTCTCTGGGCCCTCGCTTCCAGATCGAATACGGTCGTGTGGGGGGATAAGCTGCAAACCAGGCCCCTCGGGCAGGGAGCCATCTCCAGCAAGGCTACTCCAGATCGGCGACCCATGGCTGAGACGCGGGAGTTTTGAATGTATACTAGGAGTATTGTTGTTTATTATCCCAGGAAGCGTATGCGAAGTCGAAGGAGGAAGACTAGAAGCTACGCGCTTCCTGCCCCGCTTCGACTCTATGAGCTGACACGAGGTTTGCGCGCGCTCACAGTTGGTGCACGGAATACCCGAGTCGGCCGCATTGCATTTGACTCGGCGGGCATGGCAGCGCTGGCAGGCAATGGCGCTTCGTTGCCGAGGCTTGCCACTGCGGGTGACGCCGTTGAGAGGAGAACTCCGGGCGCTGGCTTCCATGTCGCTCGGGCATCGGATATAGCTCGATCGGGATACCGTCAAAACCGACGCAGTGGAGGGCAGCGCGTTTATTCCGTATTGTTGTTAGGCTTTCTTTGAGAGTGGTGTCACTCACCAAGTCACCGGTGTGGGGAGATTTGGCCGCCAGCTTGGGCGTGGATGCTAATAGGCTTTGGACCGCTCATTGCCGTGGCCCCAATCAATCGTTCTGTTCTTCTCTTGCGAGTCCATGCCTATTTAATAATATTACTGTGGCCCTTTGGCCAAAATAATGAAGACTGCCCACTACAAAGCGTTGATTAATAAATGAGCTGAGTGAGGAACAACATCGGACACTAATAAACAACCAATCGTTTCCGGGTGAATACCGAAGCAGTAGCCCTCTTAGAGGGTAAGTACTTGAGGACTTTTTTACTGTACGACTATGATTCTTCGAGAAACAGCTGAACTCAGAGCGGCTTTCCAAAGATAATCACTCTATTGAGCGCGAAAATCGCCAGATATCGCCAACAAGTGAGGGAATCATCCCTCAACTTTCTAGCGAGCATGAGGTAGTCGATATTGCTAGTTCCTCTACATATCAAATGAATTTGGAGCCTGATATCTTTCATGATGATGGCATTCATGAACAAAACATAATCTATCATGAGATCCCATCCTCCTGCTTTCTCCACATTGCTGCGACGAAACTGAACCTATCCCAAGCTGTCGTGCTTACCAAGAACTTACAAAACCACACGCACAAGATAAGCCAAGAAGATACAGATATCACCAACACACAAGAGATATTTGAAAATGCATCCACATAATACTATGATTTATTGCTGCTCGGCGACCGTGTCGCCGATTGAAATGGTGGAACAACCATAATCCGGTCGTGTAATAACCCTACGTTCTTCCGGTATGGGTAGTAATCACCAACATTTTTTGCATGGAAAAGTTAGTTTTTCTATAATATATAGAGAGATTGTCACCATCGCCCGGATGGATAGGTGGCGCAAAGGAGAAATGGGGTGGAAATGGAGTCATGAAGAGAACCATGCAGTGAGCATATATCATGGGTGAAAGTTAACAGGACAGATAACTATGATAATCACAGCCAATAAAACCTATAACTATGCCAGTTGCGTAAGGCTGTTTTTCATCCCTTGACCTCTTTTAAGTTAGTCCCTGCTCGTACAATAAGAATCATCAAGTCATGGGCATATTCCAAGCATGGGACAGGAAAGCTAGAGAGTCTAATATTTCAAACTTATCTACATGATCTATGAAAGTCCCCATACATCATTGGTAATAATAGCAGCCAACGTCGGCGGTGGAGGAAAAAGGAAATCACTAGCTCACGATCAAATGCGTGGAAAACGCTGGGTAACCAGGAATCAAGGGAACTAACCCCCTCACAAAGACATGGAAATGAAGACAGGAGGGCTTTGGCTAACATTAATCATTACTCACTCGAGAGACCCTCTCTTTCCTTGATAGACGGTACAACCCGCTCGCACCATCCACACCAACTCCTCACCTCTCCCAAGTACTCCCTCATTAAATACGATTCGGATCCCTTCTCATCCTCATGCTCTTCCACACATGCGCCAACCCTCACCCTCTTCTTAACCTTCTGCTTAACCACCCCGCCCACGCCTTCAATTTCCTGTCTCAGATAGCCCGGCTCCCCACCCCCATGCCCGTCGCCGTGTTGCGGCGGAAGATGACAGTTATCGTAGCCGCCATTGTTACTACCAAGACGATGATTATTATTATGCTGATGACGATAATGTTCCGAATCATCGGAGATCCAATCATCTACGTCACAGTCAACCTCCATCTCAATCTCCTCTGCCGCAAGACACCTCTCCCCGCGCCCGCATTTGACTCCCTGCCAGCCTTCTCCCATCCCTGTTCTCAACCCACCACTTAGATAGGGGCTGTAGCGTGTCCTCCACGTCCACACACGTTGATATGTGGTATCATCGGAGCTGAGAAGCTGGCCGCATGGTTGACAGAGCCAGATGGACTCCTCACAGTGGCAGGCCTTGGAACCAAATATATTATTTGTGAACGTCCGTGTCCTGCTTTGTGACAGCGCGTGTGAGCGGTAGTGCGTGTGGTGGTCATGGCTATCATGTTGTGAAGGGACGGAAGGTAAGAAGTGGTCGGATAACGGGGCAGTACGACATGTCGAACAAAGGCGACGAAGTCTAGATCTCAACGATGACGCTCCAATTTGTTTCATAGTGCAGTTCTGATGAACAAGAGTATCAGCCTCAGCCCAGCTTCGACGAGGTAAAGGAATATAGTATAATTTACCCTACAAACAATATACATGCATCTCTGGCATTCTGCGACCATATCCCGAGCACATCGCCCTACCTTCCTCGTGGTAAGTCTGGGAAAACCCCAGTACCTAACGGGAGCAGTGCCACCAGCGGTAGTATCGAGCAAGGGAAAAGCCTGGAAGATGTCAGGCGGATCACCCGAAACAAGGCCCGGAGCTGCGCTGCTATCACTGCTATCACCGTCTTCAGAAGGCACATCGTCCAGAGGTTCATTGCCGCACCGTAAGGTTTCCCGAACGAGCTGTGAGCGGTAGGGCAGTAGGTTCGCGCGGAACTGAAGACATGTCATGGCTAACGAATCCAGGGTGTTCAGGTCGACGGACCTGGCAATCTGAACGACCACTCTATAGATAGAAGAGAATGGATTCTTAAACTTAGTATAATCAACACCACTTAATACAAAGTACAAACGGCATGTTCCTGAAGAGCAAAACAGTGAGATAAAAGAAAGAAAGAAAGAAAGATCTAAGATTTCATTTATGCATACGGATAGCAACTCAGAGCAGCTGAGAATCCATTAACGGTTGGATTGCCCCGCTGCCCACCATCATCAACATTATCATTCGCGTTCCTGGCTGCGGGGGAAGAATCCTCCGCTGTCGCGCCATTGCAGTCCTTATCGCCGCCCTTATCGCGGCCCGCGGCACCGTCACTACCACCATGTCTTCGCGAATCCGTGAACATCGAATGGCCAGGATGCTTCAGAAACACAGGATCCGCACCGAGATGGGGAATTCCCGGCGCCGCAGAATTAATGTGCTCCTGCTCATGGTCGACAAACACAACCATAATGCCATAAGTTCAAGTTTTTCTTCCTCGCTGTCTCGGGCAATGGACTAACTAGACTGCTGGCTTGGTCGAGGAGCGGGCTCATCAGGAGGCCGAAAGTAAACAAAAAAGAAGAGGAAAAATGAAGGAAAAGAAGAAAAGAAGAAAAGAACGAGAAAAGGCTACGAAGGGTAGGATGATATACTACCCAACTTGCAACGTTGAAGTTGAACTAAGAACTGCTCTGAGCATGAGCCAAAATATAGAGCAGGGACGGATAAACGGCACGTGACTTGTACAGTAACAGAAATGACGTCATGGGTGTGAACAGAGGATATGTCAAGAGGTCTTTTTCATCATCGAGATCTATAACTCTCCATAATTTCCCGAATTGATCAATTGGAAACACGGGTTTACGCAGAAGAAAGATGAAAGGGGGGGGGGGGGAAAGAGGTCTTAGAACAATCAACAAAATTTCAGTGATAGTTAGTGCTTTTTAAATTTCACGGTCAACATTCCCAAGGAATAACTTGAATGAATATTCCTATATATGCTTGACTGTTTAATCAGGTCTAAACTGTGACGAGGTATACCGAGGTAGCAAGGCATGACCCCCATTCCATCACTTCCTAGCCGACCATATCCATCAAATCCAACCCGTTTGCAGGTTTGAGGGGCAACGAGCAAAAATATTCCATCCTTTGTACCAAACTATCCATCCTTCATTCAGCCTGAAACCCTCATAGACATTCATAAAGTGATTAAAAACCCTGACAATCGCTTTTAAAAGCATTGGAAAACACTTAACTTTGCGAGACGGAGACAGAAACGAACATAAGGAAAAAATTCAAACCAAGTATAAACTTCCAAGGAAATTAGGGGGGTTCCTGGACAAAGGAACCATATATAATCATATATAATTCAATAAATTAGGTGCCGGATAGGGAAACAAAAATGAGTAGCGTGTGTCAAACTCTTCGGGGACAATATTCCGATCAAAGCATATGAGTGTATCGGTATCTTCGACTAATAAATCTTTTTCTTCTCTTGTTTATCATTTCCTTTTCTGTCTAGATAGTATACTTATCTAACAACATCCATTCCCCTCTGGAGTGATGCCTCGAGGTCGTTGGGGTGTCGGGAACCATCATATATAGCCTCTTGGGGCCGGGGATCTTCCTGCTTCCAGGCACCAGTATGGTCCTCCGGAATCGGAACGTTCTGCTGGGCCTGCTGTGCTGCCTGCTGTGCCGCCACGGCCTGTGTCTGGGATCCCTGTCTCACATGTTGTCGGAATCGGAGGACTTCGTCAAGGATCATTTTCCTCATTTCCGGAACATCATCAACAACCTCGAAGTGGAAGTCGAATGTGGTGGGGCATGAGGGTTCATCCGAAGCGTCGTGCCAGATGTGCAAGTAGCGATGCTCAAGAGCCTCTTCAACAGAGATACGAGAAGATGGGTCGAAGGCTAGCATTCTGTCAAGTAGGTCGAGGGCATCTGGGTTCGCGTTCGGGAACAGGCGCTGGAAGGGGATTTTGTGCATGTACGGGAGGTTTCTGACGTATTCTTGCGCACGGGGAGAACCAATGCGTGAAAGGGTTTCTTCATTGGGGGTTCCAAGATAGTGGAGGATTTGGTTGAGTTGGTCAACGTAATCGCGGCCCTTGAAGAATGGTCGACCACCCAGGAGTTCGGCCAAAATACAGCCAACAGACCAAACATCGACTGGTAATTATTTTTTCATTAGCTAATACTAATTAAGCAATATTAGGAATACCAGGGCAGCTTACTGGCTTTTGTGTAACTTGGAAAGCTTAACATGATTTCAGGGGCGCGGTACCATCTGGTGGCAACGTATTCAGTCATATAACCAGCATTCTCATCTGGGTCGATGGAGAAGCCACGGGCGAGGCCAAAGTCACAAATTTTAAGCTCGCAGTCAGCATTAACCAACAAATTGCCCGGTTTAAGGTCTCGGTGCAGGACATTGGCGGAATGTATGTATTTCAATCCACAGAGTATCTGGTAAATGAAGGACTGGAAGTGAGCATCGGTTAGGGGCTGTCCTGATCGGATGATTGCCGCCAAATCACACTCCATCAATTCTGGCAATGTAGCAGTTAGTATCCCGTCACCATGCAAAAACAAAATAGCTCCACCTACCTTCATACAAGTATGTCTCATTGAAATTGTCTGGTCTTGGAATATCCATGTCATAGAGACACGTGATCTGTATCTTCAGTCAGCCCTATCGCCGTTTTCTGCCCGGATGGGAAGCACGGGCGCTAAGTTAAAGCTAAGACGCACATTGCGATGGCCGCGGAAATGCTGGAGGAGTTTAATCTCACGCAGAGCCCGCTTGGCCAAGATTTTCTTGCTGAATACATTTGTAACCTTCTTGATGGCAACGCCCTCCCCAGTTTGAACATTCGTGGCAGCACTGCAAAGAAGGAACAGGTTAGCTGAATTCAACGCGATGGATAACGGCAAAAGTAGGGCGATGGTAAGTATTCCCCGATGTCATTGGCATGTGCATGATATCGAATGACACGTAGCCTCAAGAGGAAACACATCGGCAAAGAGAGAGAGAGGGGGGGGGGCGGCTAGAGAAAGGAGGGAGGGTTAAAGGTAACCGACCAGACTATGCCATATGCGCCTTGTCCCAACTCCTTAGTAACATTGTATCGCTCGTCAACAATAAAATCTTGATTGAACACCTTGAACACTTTACGTCCTTGTAAGTCCGACATATCTGGTCGTTAAACCCAATGGTCTTACAGAAATATCGAATGGATGGGCCAAAGTATATGAACCGGCGGGATACTCTTCTAGTCCCTGTGGTATATTTATCCCTTGTGCTTTCGATTGATTAGACTAACGATTTCAACGAGTTAACTTCCAGGCCGTCGAAGATTATATTGGTCACTTGATATCAAAGAAAGGAAGTTGAGCGTGAAAGAAAGACTCGGAATTGGAGGAGGAAGAGGGTTGGCGGAGGTATGGTATGGTATTTGGATCTGCGGCTGAGACTGCGGAACGAGCGGACTTTTCAGTGCTACGAGGACGGTTTGAACGATAATTGTCTGACCTGCTCACAACGTAAAGATGAGTATTTTTTCTGATCAAGTGATGTATGTAATCGAGAGGAGGGGGATTGATTGGTCTGGATGACCAAAGGAGGGGTAGTTTGCTAGGCAAAGGACTGACTGCCAAAAAAGCCAAGCAGCGTCGTCGCAGTAGATCAACGAACAGCGAAAGCGGGCGAAGAACTCAGACGAGATCACTCTGGAGTCGCGAGGAAGAAAGAACGAGAAAAGTAATTGAGGAGTGATGCAAAACGAGGGCTGGGAATAAATAATAATAGGGGGGAGAACAACATCAGATAGTAGGGAGTAGAAGGGGAGATGGGCTCAGGCGGCTGATCCAGGGTTGTGGGTGGGACCTTCCTCTGCGGCTGGATGATGACTACGGCGAAGGCGGGGCAAACCGCCGGTGGTTGGGCTAATAAGGATGCTCATATCTTATACCAATAGAATAGCATCAATATCCCAAAAAAACCTCTCATTCCAACCTCTTTATCCCAATGAGGAAAAAAGCAAATAATCGCAAAAATAGACCCAAGATGCAGATTACCTTATTCTATTATTGTTCCTCACTCACACACTCACATACAAGGCCATATCATATTATCATCACACTTATCACACTTCTTCGTAACCCTGAGTTGAACCAGATCAAGTGGGTGGGCAGTTACAGTACTTGGAATTATGATTAAAATATTTGCTTCGCTTGAGAGAGAATGAAAATATTTTATACTTATAACTAAATTACAAGTTAAATTCTTTGCCCTAATCAAAACTTTTTGAAAGCAATCTCTGTAATGAGTAGTTGATTGATATTAAGAATCTAGCTGCTATGTGTGTGTATTGCATTCAGTGAACAACCTCCAGATGCCTTAGGAGATACAACATTATTTCATTTATTTATTTATTTATTTACTTTTGCAAATAAAGAAAGTAAAAGCAAAAGCAAAATTGAATAGTATGAGCTAAAGAGAGTAAGTACTTGCTCTATTGCACCTAAAATTTATACAATGATAACTATAATGAGCTTCAAATTCAAATGAACATGGAATGAAGTATAAAGCATTTACTTTCTAATCCATTGCACAACTAACAATACCTCCAAGCCTAGATAGCAAAGCCTCCTCAAACAATTAAACAACATTTTTCAATTTCACACAGGAACTGCCGCACCATCACCCCTCATATCACTCCCAGCGCTATACACCATCTTCCACTCGTCAGAATGGCACCGAATAACCTGTCCCCGCCCAAACATCCCCCGCTTGAACCCCTTCAACACCTCAACCTTGTGCCCCAGCTTCCTCAACTCCTCCACAACTGACTCCTCAATCCCTTCCTCCAGGTACACCATCTGCTCCAACGGTTTTCCCCGCTCTGGCATCCCCGCCCCAATACAGATGCGCGGCGCATCCAGCGCCGCCTGTGGTGTCTGGTCGAACGCAAGCATGTTCATCAACACCTGCACATGGCCCTGCGGCTGCATGAAGCCGCCCATCACCCCGTACACGGTGTGCAGGGAGTTATCGGCCGGGTTGGTGACCATGGCCGGGATGATGGTGTGGTAGGGGCGTTTGCGGGGCGCCAGGACGTTGGGGTGCCCGGGCGTCAGCGAGAAGTTTGCGCCGCGGTTCTGCAGCGTGAAGCCGCAGCCTTTCGGGATGATGCAGGTGCCGAAGCCGCCGTAGTTGCTGTTGATGAAGGAGATGCCGTTGCCCTCCGCGTCGGTCACGGCGAAGTAGACCGTGTCGCAGTGGTTGTGGGCCGGGCTGCCATGGTCGACGACGTCGGAGGCCCGGTCTGGGTTAAAGAGCTTTGCGCGTTCGGCAAGGTATGTGCGGGAGATTAGCTCTTTGGTTGGTACCTTTTCGATTTCGGGATCTGTCACCCACCAGCTTGCGTCGGCGAAGGCGATGCGTAGACTTTCGATGACGGCGTGCAGGTAGACGCTGGAGTTGTGCTGTTCGGCTGTGAAGTGGGGGATCTTGCCGGTTTTTGCCAATTCTTCCAAAATGCCCAGTGCCATCAAGGCGACGATACCCTGGCCATTGGGAGGGTGCTCCCAGACTTCCACTTCGCCCTTGCCATCACTCTTGGTTCCACCGATGTTTGTTGGGTCGACTTTTAAGGAAATGGCGTCTACATCTTGACTGCCTGTTTCAAGGTGGTATTTCAGATCGTCCAGGCTGAGGTGGCCACCAAGATCTTGGACGACTTTGACAATTGCTTCTCCGATACGACCCTGATAGAATCCCTTTTTGCCTTCCTTTGCCAGCGTTCGGAATGTTTGGGCAAGCGTGGGGTTCTTGAATATTTCCCCAGCCCGTGGGCATCTCACTCCATCCTTTCCATCCGGGCAAGCCTTCAGCATCTCTCTAAAGTTGGGCGATGCGTCACGGATGAGCTTGTCGCTTTCGTGCCACTATTAGTTGGTTAATTTCGATAGCAATTGTCTGGTCAAACAAAATTGAGGTGGGGGAGATATTTTTGAAAGAACACGAAATCATAACAAGGGACAACGTACAAATGACGCAGAGAGTTCGGACACAGGAAACCCCTCCTCTCCCAATTCAATAGCTGGCATCAAAATCTGTTCCAATGACAATTTCCTACTTCCAAAGCGTTCCACTGTATCTATCCATCCGGCAGCAGCACCTGGCGTAGTCACAGCATGTACGCTGGTCATGGGAATTTTGCCGTCCTCACCAGCAGCAAGGCCCAACTCCTTGCGCATCAGCTCTAAGGAAATATTTCCTGCTGAACGACCAGACCCATTGAGGGCATGCACTTTTTTCGTCTTTGCATTATAGAACAAACAGAACATGTCACCGCCAATACCGGTTGAAGCCGGCTCTGTGATATTGAGTGCCGCAGCTAATCATTCTCCCAAAAATATTCATCAGCCATCAACCTTTGTATATGACATAGGGGACATGAAGCGCCAGGAGCATTTTACATACCAACCGCCACAGCAGCATCCTGTATTTACCGTTAGCTGAAAAACTCTACCAAAAACAAAAGGACCGGAGAATTGAAACTGCGGAGGAGAATTTTTTTTTTTTTTTTTTTTTTTTTTTTTTTTTTTTTTTTTTTTTTTGAAGAATTGATGTCACTTACCGCCGCATTCCCTCCATCTCTCAGGATCTTTTGTCCTGCGGCAGCGGCTAAAGGCTGTGTGCAAGCCACCATCCCTTTCGTGCTGTGAACAACACTTCGTCTACTCGGGAAGGCCGAGAACCGTGGCTCTGGCGCCGAAAAGACATCACGGGCACTCAAAGGCATATTTATTATTTATATTTCAAGTGGTCTTTGCCAGATTGCGTATCTAGCAAATAGCGCGGGGTTGGGGACGGGGGGGGTGAAAAGCAATGTTAGGATAGTAGTCAAAGAATATGTCTATTTGTCAAGTTACGGAATGTGTCAATAGATTATTGTAATCATTTAGTTTAACTTATATCTCAATGATTCACTGCATTGCCGGCCGAGAAAGTCAGAACAACCGTCAACCGCTGTCTCTACCGCGGGGTACAAGGTTGGATTGTTGTGTCGTGAACCAGCATCCGGCTAACATTAATAACAACCCAACCCACAGCGGCCATGGATCGATCACATGACGGTCAACTATCATGGAAATGGCCCGAGAAGAGAGAAGACATATGCACTCGATCGGGGATATATATATACAGAACATGAACATGGTGGCTTTTATATTGAGGTACGGATCGATCTGGAACCACACCCTTTGATCATCACCTAGGCCGTGCAAAGCTGCATTAGCTCACCGACTCGTCTATTTTAGATTCCTCTAGGGGTTTGCCCAGCCATCCTGAACCCCGATGCTCAATTTTTTTTTCCCCTTTTGTTGCAAGAATTATGTTTCCTTCGTGTGCTAAAGGGGATGCAATACTATCATTATTGACTAAATTAAGCTTCCTAGTCTAACATTGAGCTATGTAGTTGCTTCGTTTTCTATCGAGACATCTCTACGAAGATTTCATCACATTCCAGGGAAAAAATACGATAACCACAAGTTACATAGTTAACACGAGACGAGAGTTTGCCGGAAGCCAGAATCTCCCGCCACGCTAATTACTGTGTTGATATGATATGATACAGCTGAGGACGGTACCGTACCAAGACAGGGCGGAGTCTGCAGTTTGGAAGCTTATCTATCCTTGGCTTGTCACCCCGTAGCCAACTCACAGACTTTTGAGGACAAGAACAACATCATATTTAAGCAAAGACAATCGAGAACTCTAGATCAGCATTCATAATATACAATTTTGCTCCGTATCTATAGCAAAAGAAGAGGAGGGATTTCGTAGCAATATACTACTAGATGCGCAAATGGCTAAATGCAGGAAAAGATCAACGGTTTATAAATGTGTACCCGACAAAAACCAAATAAACGCCTCGCTATGCATCCCTCGTAGAATAGAGGGAAACCGAAAAGGAAACCAGGAAAAACATCAGAAAAAGCAGCGGGCAATCGAGTATATCAAGCCAAGCCTGGGAGGGTTGTCAAGCCAAAAGAAGTCCTGGCATAATTCTCAGCTTGTTCGAGTCAAGTATATCAATAGGAGTTACGGACGGTCCGCCCCTAAACAATTAAGTCTTTTCGAGTAGTTCCTTCGCTTCGTTAATCTTAGAGGCGATGTACGGGCTTCCTCCTCGGTCCGGATGGTTCAGCAGCATGAGTCTGCGATGATTCGTTCGGATTTTGTCTTTATTCATGTTCCGTTCACTGCGTTGATTATTTGTATATTAGTAAAAGGGAACCTCTTATATTATTGCGCCTGCAACCCAAGGTTTCGCGTGCAAAAGGATACTTCATATTGAACAGGTTGGGGAAAGGGTGACAACACATACGAGAGTTCCAAGATAAGCGATGCCTCGCGCCTATTCATGCGTGGTTCGAATCCTCCCTTGTAAAATGCTTTCCCCAAGCTGTTTACAGTACCTCTGGATCGGCGATAAGCAACGAGACCAGCACGACCCTACATTAAACAAATGTCAGTTTCCATTGCTCCACGGGTGGTATGACGATAATAGTTGCAGTGGAAACGAACCAGAAAGGCGGCAGTAGCGACGCCAACGCCGACGGCCAGAACGGATGCCATATTTGCGGATAGAGGAGATCGGCCAGAGAACGGAGAGGGTGAAGATGAGTGCGGGACGGTGCGACAAAGCAGCGGTGGTGATAATTTTTCGCCGTTCGATGAAGTTCAGATGTTCGGAGAAGGAAGAGAAAAACTGCTGAACGCTAGTACTAATAAAGGCTAGTGTCATGAGATGTCACATGACCGACGGCCCAGCGAACAAAAAGTCGAAACTTGAAAAAGTCGAGAGAGTGGGAAAGCATGAGAGACCAAGGTCGACTCGTTTCAATCAAGGCTCGCTGTCTAAGGTCCTACTATCGCATTAGCAGCCATGAGGTATGCCTCCGCTTTATTAAGCTCTTTCTATGTAACACCGTGCAGCTTACCCTAACTACCGTGAAATCCAGAGTCGAGACCTGCCATTTCTGTTCCCAGCCATGCTATCCCAGCAAAGGCATAACATTTGTGCGCAATGACGCCCGTACATTTCGCTTCTGCCGCTCGAAATGTCACAAGAACTTCAAGATGAAGCGACAGCCCCGCAAGCTGAAATGGACCAAGACTCACCGTGCCCTCCACGGCAAGGAGATGATCGTCGATTCCTCGCTGCTCCTATCCCAATTCGCCAAGAGACGAAATGTCCCCGTGAAGTACGACCGTAATCTGGTTGCAGCCACGATCAGGGCTATGGAAAGAGTGGAGGAGATTAGACAGAGGCGCGAACGTGTATTTACCAAGAGAAGATTGGCTGGCAAGTTGGCGCGGGAGAAGCAGAGAGCAGAAGACAGGAGAGTGGTGGCCGAGGGGGAGCACCTTATCCGCAAGGAGCTCAAGGAAAGAGAGGAGGAAAACGTGCCGCTGGACACAAACAAGAATCTCAGCCAAGTTATGGGTACGGAAAGGCTACGGACGAAGAAGAAGACGAGACTTTTGGTGGATGGTGGCACGCAGGACGAGATGGAAATCGACTGAGGGAGGGGGGGACGTTTTCTCGATACCTTTATTTTCGCTTCGGATATTTTGTTTTGGCTTCTTCATGTTACAGCGGGGTAATATATCGGCGTTGGGATTCTTATCTTCTCATGTGTTTCCTTTGTTAAGACTAAAAAGAGTGGGTTTTCATTTTTGGATTGATTTACTTTTTCGCCTCATCTGCAGTCCCACCGCTCTTGGATGTCCTTTTACAGACTACGGTATTGCTTCCTCTCAGAATATGATGATATCTTGGAATCCATACAAGCGTTACATTGGCCCCTTCCACGTACACAGGATTTACTCTTCCCCAATCTCCTGCAGTATGGCCTTTCGTTCTACATAGCCGTTGATACCGAAGCCGCCATGGTCTGAGATTTGTTTGTTTAAGCCATGCAGGTAAGAAATACCCCGCGTCCAGTGTATGTATGGTGTGATATGCATATACACCTCCTTCTGCCTCAAGGGAATATCCGGCGAAAAATGGCATCTCGCTGCTTGTGAGGTAGGCACGATCCACGGTTGACTGACTCTATTGGTTTGTTTATTTATTCACGACGCGCCGCGTGAATAGCAGAACGTCTTCCTCTTCACGCTTCTCTCAACAACACAACACAACTACAACACAACTTACACCAACACAACTCAAACTCAACACACAATAGGCACTGCTTTATCTGCTTCTCGAGTATCTCATTTTCTTTATCTCTCTTCATCTGGCACACTCATCATCAATCAATACACGCAATACAACTACCATCACCATCAAATTTTCTATCAAACAAATCATACAAAGAGCTTCAAAGAGCTTCAAAGCTCCTCAAACCGGAAGCTTTAACCTCGATACTAAAATCAATTATAAACCAAACAAAGTAAGTTGATAGTACGGCTCTTTGTTCTTGGTCAGATTCATAATGGTTACATGCTCACCTCCACTCAGTATCCAACAGCAGCATGCTTCTGTTTCCGTTCTTGGGGCTTGTTGTGTCCCTGACCCTCTGGGGCACGTTCTACCCTGTGCCATTTACCGATGTCCGCCCTCACGGGCCCTTCATGGGCAGAATTACAGGGGCAATTAAGGCCTCATTTTTATTGACGGGCACTTATGAGTTCATTTTAACCGCTGGTTCGAAGGCCACCGGCGCTCTCCAACATGAGTCGTTCTCCAGTTCCACAGGGGCCCCCGGATTCCCTATTGACACATATCTTGATGATATGTCTTGCAACAGCAGCTCCTGGGCATTCACCACGGCAACACTCTCCAATCCATGTCTCTCGCGAGATATGTATTCCAGCAATTCCTCAGAAATCGCTTTGGTCACTGAGCCTCTGGAAACTCCTCATGTTGCTACCAGCGGCATCGAGAAGGCCCACACTACGCAATCAGCCCAGTCATCCACTTTTCTACTGGAGCTGGCTCTCGGGTCCCTGGTAACTGTCCTTGTCTGTTGGCTGAGTCTTAGACTCATGAATAATGCTTACACACTGAAGGATTTGGCCCTCTCCTTGGGTAGACTTTTCGTGCCTTCACCCGAGGTGGCCAACCACCTCGTTATGACATCTGGCCTGACTGTTACGGTCAACTCGAGCAATGATGTGGTCTTATTGCCCACACCGGAAGCTTGTGGGTCCGTAATGGCCATGGCCGAGTCAGCTTTGGGCATGGGGCAATCGGGTGTGAACCCCATCTACTCCATGGAGAATAGGTCTTTCTTCACCGGCTCTGTTGCGACGTGTGACGCTTGGCTGTCAATCCCTGCATTGGTTACAGGCTCACAACTGGTGGACTTCCATCCGGTTGTCGACGCGGTAATCAATCGCTTGGAGCGACTACAGGTCGGAGCGCCCGTTAACTGGTCGGATTGCATGGCCGCAGACTCTGATGCCACACCCGTGGGAAAAGTCAACAACGAACCCGGTTCAACTTCCGAGTCGTCTGTCACATTCGCTCCTGTCCGTATGCCCCAGCTGACGGCGCTTGTGCTCCGTCGGTTTGAAAACATCTCGCACTTCGTGCTCCTGCGGCTCGTGTTCGTTATCGTCGCGGCCGTAGGTGATGGGCAAACGGTCGCGGAAAATACTAGCAGCCCCGACAAGGAAGAAGGACCCCCGCAGCGCCCAAAGAAGAACAGGATGGGCCAGAGGCAGCGACGTCGAATTTACCAGCGCGAGATGCGTAAGCAGCAGGCGGAACTGATAGAGCGCCTGGATGCGGGAACTGATGATGGATCCAATCCATCACCGCAAACCCCTCCAGGTCCTGTACCAGCCTCGTCTGCTGGCCATGTCGTGCCGTTAACAGTTGCGCCGATGGTTCCAAGTCGGCCTGCCATGCCTGTGAATCCGCAGGGCCAGGGGAATGGGTTCCGCCCGCCTCATCCACATCCGCCTCCCCCCCATTGGCAATTCCCAGTAGTTGCTCGACAGCCGCCCTTCCCAGGGCAGGGAGGTCCGGTGACACCGTACCCTTGGCAGTACCAGCAGTACGGCTATCCCCACGCGTTCAACTTTCGTTAGTTCGCTAGATACTGGTTGAGGACAAAAGAATCTGCTCCACCCCACTTGATGGAGTTTTTCCTCCGGCCTTTCGTCAGATTGGTTCGGTGTAGGTGAACGAAGTCAGGCGGGAGAGCGATCTTTTTGACTCTTTAACCAGTCTGGTGAAAATTCGGAAATGGACACGTCGATGAGAAATCGAGGGATACGGCTGTGTGGGACCCCGAGACGGTTGGCACGGGGTGTCGGATTTGAGAAGATTAAGCATAAAAGAAGGAGGGTCAAGGTTAGTATATCATTTTCCAAATCATACCCGGAAACTCATCTCCTAATACGTTCATAGATTGCTTTTTCGGGGGAGCGGTGGGCTATGATCCATCCGCAGGACCTCGCGCCCCCTTGGATCTCGGGAAAATAAATCCACGCCACTTCCATAGTGGGATGAATCCGCAACTATGACAATCCCCGACAACATCCCGCCCAGTCCACAACCTTGTTCGGATTCAATCACTCTTCTATTTGAATCTCCACTTCTCCTCGAAATAAAACATCTGTGGCTACGGAAGTCAGTATCTCCAGCACGGAGAGCACAATATTGGAGATGAACGATTGAAGATGAACGATTGGAGATGAACAATTGGAGATGAACAATTCGAGATGAACGATTCCTTTTTGCATTGTATCGGGTGTATAGAATTGGAAACAAGTGATTGATTGAATGAGATACGATGAAGAGAAAGAATGATTCTTTCACTTATGATTGTTTCCGCTGTTTTGATCGGTTGATGTTTGAGGCTTTGTTTTTCTTCTGAATCTTTCTTCTTTTCAGTTTGTTGTCAGTCATTTCTACTTTTTATGCATTGGATACCCACTTTTGCATTTATTTTACTTTGTTCAGTGTATTTTTTATTTAATTCATGTATGTGCTTTCATAAAGCTTTTCAATACATAATGTATTTTCATCAAATCAATCTGTCTTTCTGAAATTGTATAGATTATGTCAAATCTACTTTTGCTTTCCTGATAGACTTGAAGATAAGAATAATACATATACTCTTATTAACTCACTACTCTTTTCTTACTATACCTTGTCTCTTATGTGAATAGTGTCAGAATAATTTCAAATAACTTACTCTAAATATAAAGAGTAATAATGAAGTAAAAGTAGAGATGATGTACATGCAATATATACTTATAAACAGTGAGATTATATACAGTGCTGATGTTATAACTTGTTTCTGAGAGTTAATAAATTTCAGACTCTCTTATCAGATAGTAGATAGTTATATCATGAATTTCAGTGATTTTCTATATTCTAAAATATATCTCTATTTCATACATATCTATTTTTTATAACTAGTGTGTAGTATATATTTTTATCTTTCTTTTCTCTTATTCTTTCAACATGTATGATTTTTTCTAATATTAAGTGACTTTCTCAGAGGTCTCTCATTTTTTATTATATATATATATATGATATTTTTGATCTTTCTCTGCTTATATAGTTGTTTTTAAGAAAAATTATTAAGTTTTAAAAAATATTCATTTCTTTTTTTCTCTTTTGATACTCTTTTCACTTGATCTCATCTGAAGAATGATATAGATATTATAGTATCATAGTAATAGTTTAGTATAGTTATAGTTATAGTTAATAGTTGTATGGTATGTTGTATGGTATGTTGTATAATATGTTGTTTATATATGTAAATTTAAAAAAGTAGGCACGAAAACCAATAGACAGTAACAAAAAAAAAAAAAAAAAAAAAAAAAAAAAAAAAAAAAAATTGAAGGTGTTTGAACAGCCATAAATATAATAATAATATAAGTAATAATGAAAAAAAGTGAAATGGGAAAAGGGGGGGTGGGTTGGGGAGAGGAGAGAGAGAGAGAGAGATAAGAAAAAGAAAGAAACTGAGAAGGCCCCTTTCCCACCTCGATTCCCATTCCCATTTTCCATTCCTCTTTGCTCATATTCCCATCCCTGCATTCCACTTCATATCATTCCGTTCCATTCTCACTCCTCACTCCTCCATCCGCCCAAAAACACCATCATCGTCATCATCCATCGGCACACCAGAACCCCCCCGATCCCGATCCCGATCCTGCGCAAAATCATCATCGTCATCATTATGATTGGTATTAGTCTTAGCCTTGGCTTTCAGCATCGCCTTGTTGCTGCTGCCACTGCGGCGTCGGCCCCGGCTATCCAGCAACGGCACGTCATCCATCTTCACGTCCCGCACGTCAGAGACGCGGTAGGATAGGGACGGGTGCAGGCTTAGCGGGTTGTAGATGGTGGGTATCGAGGAGGCTTCGTGCCTTGCGGCGCTGGCGAGCGCGTCGAAACTGCGCGTGTTGCTGTTGATGCTGTTGATGCTGTTGATGCTGTTGATGCTGTTGATGCTGTTGATGCTGTTGATGCTGTTGATGCTGCCGGTGTGGTTGGTGTTGCTGCTGTTATTATCACGGTTGTTGTTAGCGAGCCCCATCCCCCCTCCCATACCTACGCCCATGCTCTGGCTCCCCAGGAACCTCGCAGGCAACGGTGGGACAGGCGGGATATCCGGGGACATGGGCACGGGTCCGCTGCGGGGCGTGCC